CGTTCACAATAAAGGATAGTAAATTTGAAAACGATCGTATTTCTTATAGTACAAGGAAACGAGAAATAAAGCCAGTCTCTAAAATTATCACCACAATGTTACAGTGTCACATAAGACTTACTTGATTAATGGCACATTGATGAAGTACACTATTACACAAAACTGACCTACTACGTTCGCGCATAAATGAATGAAGCTATTACGTATTCATATATTATATCTTCCTGTCATATGCAACATGGCACTCTATATTAATTTTCTCACGTAGTTAAGCGGATATTTAAAATATCATTTACTCGAGTGAACGAATTCAAGTTATGATAATTTACCGTACAAACTATTTATTAATGACACTTTTCATTAAATTCATTTAATTGAATTAAACTTTCTTTTGATCTGTGTACCAGTCATTATACAAATGTATGTTTCTTTCACTTAAACTTGTAGTTGACATTTTCTCAAGTAATTTAACTATGATTAACGCAAACTCTCGTGAGTATTGTTGTCAAGAATTTAATTAACAGAAGTAACATGATTTTAATGATTATTTAATTATTAACACGCTTGGATAAATAATTTATTATCAAAATATATATATGTATACTTTTTGATAAAGAAAATAGAAATCATTCGAAATAATTATTTTGAGTAAACACAACGTAGTTAGAAACTTCATTCATCTCCTCTTGGATTCTCGAGATTATTTAGATATTTCAGCCCTATTTTCTCACTCTCGCGACATCTAAACCATCGGAATTCTCTTTAATGTGCTAGTGTAGTCTCATAAGGTGGAATAACTATTATACAGAGAATATTACTAACAATTTCATATTTGAATTGTCTCTTTTACGAGTGAATAGTTACGTTAGAACTCTAATCTAGTGTACCTTGTGTATTTATTCACGTTAAAGAATCCATCTCCGAGAATCTGGTTTCGAGAAGTCTGAATCACGTTTTCAACATCGAGTGCAGAATCTTGAAGCATTGTGTCTGTTAATAGGCTCTTCTCTCAAACTTAGTCTGATCTTCCATTCACTTTGATCAACTATTTGCTCTAACCACTTTAACAAAAAAAATAATACTTGAATGAAATACCTTTGTATTTATTTTTTTAAGAAACTTGAAAAAGCTTTTGAAATTTTTTTTTTAATTTTTTTGATAAGTTTATGAAAGATTGTTAAATCAATTGGAAAAAATCAACGCTAAAAAGTTTGTTTAATATCTGAGGATTGAACTTAGATTAAATTAATCGTATTTTTCTCATTTAAACTGATAACTTCACTTGATGAAGTAAAATTATGTTTGAACTCTTTCGAAAGAGTAGATAATTGAAGCTTATAGAATCACAAAATTTTATTAAACAAAATTCACTCAAATCATTTAAATCTTTTCTGAATTTGTATACTGATATTTCAATTGGGCTAATATAATTAATTTTAATATAATTTAAAGTATTTATACAATTGTAAATTTTATCTACCTAGAATTTTAAATAAATACCTTTCTGCAAGATAAAAAATAAAATTATAAAGTAAATAAAAGCTTTCCATTACGGATATGAATGATACCAAAAAAAGGATTCTTCTCTGAATCATAGTTTTTTCTATTAAAACCAAATTGAATTGAGAATTTATTTTTTATCACTTTCTATATCAAAAATGTATCGAGGGATGAAAGACATTTATTTTTTATCAAAAATCCCATCACTTCCTATATTTAAGATTCAAAATAAAAATAAATCATTCTTCCAACGATGTCATAATCATTTTTGTTAATTAATTAAAAAGCAAGAGACATTTATCATGTACACGAATATTGGAAAATTTTGGATAAATTTTTAGTCATACAGTATGTTATCAAGAGTTAAGATTTATCAATAACCTGGTGACTGTTGGCAAACAAAATGGTTGTAGATTGTAAATGACGTCTTTTGATTAAATTTTAGGGCTGGCTATACCAATGTTCAGCGGTTACTGATCGAGTAGAGATTAGTAATTAAATACATTGTTCCGAGCACCCTTTATTGCAAGTGAAGGGCGATTGATATGTAGAGCAGCATTCACAACGTTAGCGATAAGCTTGAAATATGATATTGTTTGTTGAAAATCTATAGATAGAACTTTAAAGTAAAGTTTTCAACAAGAAGGCTGTGTGATAAATGAAAAAGTAAAATAGAACAATGAATAAAGATGAAATGAATAGCAGAAAAATATGTTTTAGCAGTAGACATGAGTGATAAAAGAATTTTTCATTGACTATTCATTTTAATAGACATGATGATGTGTAGACATATTCATCTATCCTTCAAAATTTTAACAACTACTCTTAGAATAATTTTCTCTTTGATCAAGTACCATTCGTGGTATTTTCATTGTTAAAAAAGACAAATGTTAGTATAATTTTATCTCAAGTTATTTTCTAGGTCACAGTTACTACTGCAAACAGGAAAACCCTTAACGACGTGGAAGTAAATCCTTAAGATAAAACTTTCCAAACTTTGGATTCTTCACTTTTCGACTTCTAGTAGGGATAAAAAATCGAGGTATCTTTCAGTATCTCGTATTAGAATATGTGAAAGCTTCTGATAAAAATTTAAAAAGAAACTCCAATTCTATATTCGACAACGCCACAGGCATTAAAAAGCATTCAATAGAGGGGAGGCATATTTTATTCCTCCAATAAATCAAATAACTATTTATTCCTAACAAGAGTGTTGAATATAATCATTTTTATCTGCGGAAGTAATAAAATAAATTGATTGTTAATGATTTCAATTGAAATCTCTAGATATCAATACCTTATCACGCCAAGGGTTTTCTTTATTTGAATAAATGAACTGTTTTTAAAAGGTCTAGATTGAAGTTTCGATTGCTAAAAAAAATCTATGCTTGTCAAGAATAAAAAGATAACTAATTTAATGATGGGTAACCATAAAAATAAAAGCTAACGAATGACATAAATTAAATTACTACGAATTTAATAATATAGAATTCATTAGTTCCAGCTCAAATCCTCTCGAAAATGATTGGTATCTAAATTAATTAACGTAGATTAAAATCCATGTACATTACGTTCTTGAAAATTGGTGAATTTTAACGTAATTAATCAATTTTCAAATGAATAAATCTGATATTATTTTGCTTATACTTATAATTATTAAATATTTAACAAGGTTTTAACGTTAATTTATATTTATAACTGTGTAATTAAATTTTATCAAAGCCAAACAGCTTATGGATTAAAGTTAAAATTAAAATATCTGAAAACTATTATATTAAAATTTTATTATGATTTACATAATCAATGTTGTTTCAACTAATTAATACATCGCTGGAGAACAGGAGATAAATTACAGTATTTATCAAAGAGTTTTTTTATATAATTAATTTTGTTATATAAATTTACACAAATCAATAAAATATAAAATAGTTTACCAAAAATAAATATACACAGCAGAATATTTCTACGTATTCCATTTCTGTACCAATGAATTTCCCTGAAATAAATTTCAAAATTTAACATCGAGAATTCTATTTTGTATTTCCGCTGTACCCTATTACAATTTGTCTCTATTTGTGTCATAAATTTAAAACATATAATTCAACTTTATATTAACATTTATGTATACATCTTTGCAAAGATATTCTTCATATTATTTTTTCTGTATTCTTTATTACTTATCTTGCAAACCAATCTACATTTTGCATGAGCTTTTAAACTTACACAATAACTGCCTATTTGAATTACATTCACCGAATGAGATTAATCTCGTTCACTTCCAGTTTTACTTTGACTTCCAGTGAGTACGTTAGTAAGTATAGTCACAAGAGTCTTATACCTTTACAAGTACTATGAGTAAATTTATACTTCTAGGTGTCTTATACTTTTTAATGTCAAGAATATTTTCATGGTATAATCGTACATCCCGAGAGATTTTTTAAACAAAAGTAATGCTTTTCAACATGAACGAAAAGAAAGATAAATGTACATTCTTGATATGTTTCTAATATATTATTTACAAAGTTAAAATTTAAAGCCATTGCAGCATTAAAAATTCATCTAAATCGCTATAGCGATGTATAGAGGCGCCTATTTGAATTTCGAGTACTGACTTCAGTGTGTGTAATAAAAGCTGCTTCATCGAGATTTATCGGAAAATGCATTACAATAAGAAAGCAAACAAACGTTCCTTTACTTCTAACGTAATTCCCTGTTTGACGGTAACTTCCAGGAGAACCCGCGAGCTCTGCAAGTTTCGATCGCTGAGTGTCCTAGTTTCTTCAGTCCTCACGATGTTTCTATGAAGTGTCGGAGATTCATTCCTCTCGCAAGATTCGTATCTTCAGCTTATATTATATACTGTTGAGAAAATTTTATTTTTATACTTTACTATCAACTTTTTTCAATTTTGCTTCTTTCTTTTGTACATAGAGCAGTGGATGAATTTTGAGAAAATATTTATCTCAACAAAATAATTCAACAGAAGATTGAGTATTTATTTAATATTTTTTTAACTAGATTTTTCGTCGAAAAAAATATTAATTTATTAATTTTATTTATAATCGTTTTTTTTTTTATATATATGCTAAATACATTCATCAACAATTTTCTTTATGCAAGAGAAAATTTATACCTAACTTTGACTTTTGTTTCTATTTTACTGTTTCAAACTTTTGCAAGTACAAATTTCAGCCACTTCGAGACTTAAAGTAACATTAGTTGTGACGTATATATAGTTATAGTAGAATCATTATGTTACAGCTACAATATTAGAGTAGACACGAAATTTCATCTAGCATATGCTTAAATTGAAAACAGACATTTTAAAAATTATTATTAAAAAAAATTCTATTTAATAAAAAAATGTTGCATCATTTTTTATTCTCAAGTTATTTAAATTAAAAAATTCTATGATTATATAATCTAGATATTTTTTTAAATTTATAACAAAAGCTTCCAAGATAAAAACACCTATTAATCAATCTTTTTACATGCGACAGGCTCGTAATAAACCAGCAGATGGAGTTGGACACGTTAATCAAAAAGGAACTACCGGACAAAAAGCACCTCTGACTGGCAGCCAAAAAGGTGCTCCTGGGGCGAAAGGCGCAGCAAAACCTGCACAAAAACCGAGTGCGCAAAAGGGACAAGTCAAAGTAACGCCTAAAGCAGCCTGTGTTAAAACTGGAAAAAATAAAAAGAAAGGCCAAAGACAACAATACGACTTGATAGTTAATATTAATATAGTAAGTACTTTGCTTCTTCTATTCCATCTACTACTACCATTATTCCTATTACATTTTATTCCATTTAAATACTCATAACGATAATGATAACCAAAGTTAAGTGAACATTTAGGAGTAAAAGATAGAGTATGATATATGACATTTATAACTGAATTCATTTGAAATTAAATAAACTATGCTGTTACATTTGATGAATATAATGATCATTACTATTGTTATTATATCATCAATACTGACTATTCATCTATGGCATGATTGTAGCAAAGATTTGTGGTACAGGTATATTCAATTCTCGAAGGCTTCTATATTGTTTTCCGTCCGGAATACACCACAATAGAGGGAACAATATTAAGCTCCAAATTTGAATGAAATTTTCAGCCAACATTTATTCTATTCAACGGTTCCAATGAGAATAACGATATTCATAATAATAGGAATAGTATTTTGATATCATCAAAATCCAAATGGTAAAGACTATGAGCCAAAAGATACTTTTCCACTCAGTATTAAATAATTAATTTTGGTCTATCTGAGAAACTGATTTTTTATTTCAATGAATTCTAAGTAAATTTGTTAAATAATGAGTTAATAACTGGAAAAGTAATTTTAATAGAGTTTAAAAAAATTTTTAAGCATTCTACAATCCAACGTAATAATTTAATGACTTAAAAATAGAATGAAAGGATTTAAAGCAACTTCAAAGAACAAAAAATAATTGAAAAATGTGGACATACCCGTAAGCCACGATAGTACGTGCTTGTCATGATATTTTTCAAAATTGTCTGCTCTTAGTCACGATTCATATAAATTATTGTGATGATTATTCGCTAACGAAGCTGAAATTTTTTGGACATTATGTTTGAAAAACACAAATGCTGCAAGCTACAACCATTTATTTTTGATGCATACTTTTACAAATATGTGACTTATTTATCAAAGGTTTCAAGTCTTTGAGTCATTAGTATGAACTGTATTTAAGAAACTAAAATTAATTTAATACAATAGCAAGAAAGAACCCAGCCTGCTTGAAAGTTACAATGACTCTTTTGCCATCAAAGCAAATATGTATCACTAAAAGAGAGGACAAGTAGACGGAAAACTATCAACTAAGTTGTTGGACTTCAAAAGAAAGAAATTTAGATGCAAAGAAATCTGTGTCATTAAATCTGTAGCGAAAAGCTATTTTTTTCTAAAGAATGTTTAATATTTTTAACATTGCATAAAAAACGATGTTATCCGTTTAATTGTAATTGTCAACTCAGGTATTTTTTTTTTTTTTTAATTCACGAAGTTTCATTATCAGAGTGAAAATTGCGAGGAAATAAACCCCTAGTGAAAATAATATTTCCTGAAATTATTTTTTCTATTAATCCTGTGAACAGCTTGAATAAAAACAAAATTAAAAAGTATGTAGTGGAATCAACATAAAACATAATGATACAGAAGGGACTTTTTTTGCTTTCATTTTACTTATAAGCAGGTGTGAAGATTCCATTCAATTTTGCCGAGTTCTAAAACTTCTAATTGATTTGATAAGAGTCTCAAGAAAGTTTGTTTGTTGATTATTATTATTATGATTAAGTTGAAAAGCAAATTTTTTACAACCATTATAAATTTATTTAGAACACTCAATTTAATTAATTTTTCACACCTTCTTACTCATCAAATCTGGACTTAAAAAAAAAAAGTTTCTTTAAAACAAAGCTAATTTTAAATATGAAGAATTAATTGCAGTCAATATTTCGTAGGGATATTTTTTTATATTTACTTCCAGACTTAATAGCAAAGTAAACAATAAAACTTTCAATGTGACTTAGATTAAAATAAAAAAAGGTAAATAAAGACAGTAAAATATATATATTGCTATTTAGTTATTTGTTATTTAAGTAGTTTAATTTGACCTACTTGGACTACTGCAGCGATGACCAATCGATAGGTCTTTAGCACCTGAACTATAATAAAGTATCGAATAGAATACTGTGGATATTCTAACCCATTGTGTTACTTCAATGCATGTAAATATCTCTCAGTATATTATTCCATCTCTCAGTTTAGCCATAAAATGCTACTTTTACGATCAATTAGATTGTTTCTACACGATAATGGAATGTAACTATACATATGGATATACTAAGCCGTTGCACTATGAACAAGTTATTCAAATAATTACTGCTAGGTTAGTGCAGTAGTTCTTCGCAAATTAGTACGGTGGTTGTACCAATTTAATATTTGTTTTCTTCCCCATCTTTCTCGTAATATCAACTGTTCATAGTTATACTATATCTCTATTGACCATTGTTCGTAAATAAAAGAAAAAAAAATATTAGGATAATTCAAATGAAACTCAGATATTTTTAGTTGTTGATCATTTGTTTTCAAAAGTAAATTTCAAAATATTTTCACACATAATTTTATTTTAATGTGCATTATTTAAGTAAATAATATTCAAAATAAGAAACAATTTTTGGCAAGTATTTTATAAACTTTTGTTCTTAGATTTTCATTTCAATTTTTTAATGTTTTTTTTTTAAAATTATAAATCATAATTAAAAGAATATAAGCAATTAATAAAATATATGTATGATAGTAATGAGCCCTTGAGGTAAATTGCAGATCAACTTACACTCTACAATCATGCTTTTTGGCAGAGTATAAAATTTCTTGTGTGAGGAACCTCGTCTCTAATAATGCGTAATGGTGCAACAAAAAAAAACCGGTTGCATCAATAAATCGTTAGAAATATACTAGTTTAAAAATGATCGAAGGTTATACTAGAGTAAACGAAGGAGCTTCCTCTTCCTTTCAAGATGTCTAACTGTCAGTGTCATGCCAGTAATCTACAACCAACTATCATTGTTGAAAGCTACCTTGCTTAAACTTTTCACAAACTAAGAACTCTCTACTTTTTTTGATAAAATAATTGTAATAAAAAACTGAGAAATTTTTTTCTATCGATGAAAGAAGTTTTTAATTCATCTATTTGCGGTGGAGTGTGGTGTATATCACTGGAAATTTCATCAACTGAAACGAAAGTATAAAGAAATAATTGGTTTGTTTACACAAAGTGTGGAGAATTGTGCTCTACACATCGAACCATCGGTATTTTAATTTAGATAAGTGAGATTCCTCTACCAGGTTTCAACCGCATTTTGCATGTTATTTGTTGATTATCTAATATATTTCGAGGCTTTAGAATCGTGGCAAGAATTAAGCCGGAACTCGTTCCCAACAAAACAGAAGTGGTTGGGGAATTTGGGAATTCTGGCAACCAACTACTGGCTGGGACGCGCCAGTAATAAATGTAGCGGACCATCTACATAAGGAGGACGCGCGTTGAGTATAGTAGCACAACCGCCATTTCCGTGAAATTCTGCTAAAATTTCTATCATAATATCTCATCTTGTCTTAACTCCCACTCACAACTAAAAATCGACAGTTCGTTTATTGCGGAAACTTGAGATCAATGAATTTTCTCATAAAATTCACGTGCACGTGCGCCAGTGGAAACTAGTTTATTTCTTCAAATCAAAAGTGTTTATAAAGAGTTGATCAAGTGTGAAGGAGTGAAGCACGTGACTAATGGCTGAGGCGGAGAAAAAATACACAACAGCATATGGAAAGTATAGAAGACTCACGAGTACTATTGATCCTCATATAAGACAAATCAGTGTAAGTTTTCCGGTATTGAAGATTTTTTTTTTCCTCATCTTATTTCATATAGTAACTGAATCAAAACTGAACTAACATCATCAGCTATACAGTTGGTTCCGCGCCAAAAGTGACAATAAAAGAATCATACATCTGTAGACATGACAATTGTCTATAGATAACACTATTCTATCTTGGATCATATACTAGAAGACTAGATGTTGGTTTTATTATTAAAGCATAAATTATTTATAGATAATTATTCCAGCTGTGTATTACTAAATTTACAATGATATGGTTTAGTTATTTTCAAGGAAATACCGAAAAATAAACAATAAACTTCATTAGTGGCTTTCGTGAAGGTTGATTTTAAAATATTGAACTGTAAGTTTCTAACCTTGCTAATAAAACTCAAGGCTACATATTTGTTTCTGATAAATATCTAAATGGACAGCATTAAATTCAGTCGTGTCATCATTTATAAACAGCGAGACAACACACACGTGTCTCCCACAACGAAAAATTTGCTTCCGAGCTTTTTTTATCTACAAAACAAACCGAAAGATCTACAAGAGTAGTGATATTATTATTAGACAAAAATCCCAAACATGTCGTATCATGAAACGTGCTTACATCTCAGTGGCACGCATATTCATTCGAATTGAAAAAAGATCTATTTTATGACGATATTGCCTGATTTCTCTGACTCTAAATATAGTCTGTCACATGTGACACATGAAAAGGAAAAAAGAATATGTAAATCACCACCCAAGTAATCGTGACCGAGTTTTTTTTTTCACCGGAAATAAATGTGAACAATTTTTTCCCTTCTGTACTGTGATTCAGATGAACTGACTGCTGTCTTGTATTCATTCAGCAATTTATGAGACATTGTACTTATCCCCTGTGTACCTGACGAATCGAATACATGAAAAGTTTAAATATGTAAATTTCTTGAGATGATTTTATTGATAAATGATGGTTAATTTATTTTTTAAATAACAAAAATGAATTAATTCCTTAGAATCAACTATGGATTTGCAAAATGTCCAGTAAATTCATATCAACATAAGCAAAATATTTGCTTAGTAATATGATCATGATTTAATTGAAAATTTTTAATTATAAAAAAATATTTTAATTAATTTTCTATTTCACAATTCCAACCACTTTTAAGAGCTCCATAACAAGAAATGAATTAATTTGACCAGTCTCGAAAATAATTCATTACCGGTCTCGTTAGTAGCTTGAAAAAAAGTACTTTTATATTTAAAAATAAACGAATCAAACTAATTAATAGAACATTTTCGTATTTTTTTTATTTATATTAGCATGTAAATGCGGACAGGTCCGGGGTCTATGGAGAACTTTTAATGACCTAATTATGCTGCTGCGGATATCCGTTAGCATAGCTAGTGCACGTTGGTTGCAATCACAGTTTACTGTGGCACATATTACTAATAATACAGGATATAACCACTTCCGTAGAACCGCAATACATATATACATATATTTTCGGTTCGAAAGTTGAGAGAGATTTTCGGCAATCAGCCAAAGTCTTGTCATCTTTTGATCTTATCATTCTGGAGATGCAAATTCCAATGCCTTAGATAAGTCGATGGGATTTTACTTCAATAAGTACATTGATCGTTTATGCAGTAAATGGAATATATTCTATGTACATAAATGTTATAAACTCTATATACTATGTATCTAAATCCCTACTCATTAATGTACGTTGAGGAAGTGATATTAAAAGGAATTAAGTAGGAATAAAATCACTTATGAATTCATCAACTTGATGGATTTTTTATGAACGTATTAAAACATACTTCTATTTGTTTTAGTCGGAGTATGGACTTACAGAGGATCAAGTTGCAGGTGAGTCTTTTGCACTAATATAAATGTCCATAGGTTATTTATTTTTATGGGATATAATTCAGACCACTTTATATATTTTTTAAACTATTAGCAATCTATTAACGATCGCGAAAAGAATTAAAGTCTAAATGCCCTTCCATCATTTAATTTTCAATGAAAAAAAATTTATTGCAGTTGCTTGAGTATAAGTAAAACATTATTAATCTTATCTAAATCTAATGAGTTATCTGGTACAATTTAATAAAAATATATCAAGATTAATATCAAGGTTTATTAATTGAAAACTCTGATTAAAATTCAAACTAATATCGTTTCACTCTTTATCCTTATTCGCGGAGTTGATTTATACTATTTTCTTGTTGACATTAAGCTGTTTACAAATGTGGAGTAATTTACACATATTACAAACTGTTTTAAGAAATGTAAAGGTTATGGATGTGAAAGGGAGTGTTTGCGGTCACGAAATTTCAAGTATTTACAATTTTGCTGTACACACCTATCCATGTAAACATGATATTAAAAAAATTTTCATAACCACAACAGTTGAAAATTTTATTTAATGCATAAATTAAAAATTATCTTTACACAACCATAATGATCATTAAATAAATCCCAAATGCAAACTAATTTCAAAAACTAAATATTCATTTAATAAATATTACTTTTTATTAAATATTCATATTAAAAGAGATAACTTTTCATCGAAATAAATAGCTTTTATGAAGTTTGCTGTATAATAAGGTAATAATCGACACATACTTATAATGAATGGTATGAAAGTTTATCAAACTTTGACTATCTTAAGGAATCTGGGTCATTTTACAAGTTAAGCCTATTTCTGTCATGGTATTGGTACCGTAAATTTATATTAACTAAACGAGATTCCACGAAAGCGAATAGATCCTATTTTGATCTCCCAATGGGCCTCTACGATGGCCATTTATATGTCAATATCAATTCCAACAGATTGTATTAACTATTTTACTTGTCGAAATTCGCAATGAAATAAACTCAATTAATAACAGAGTTCGAAAAAAAATCTGATCATGCATCTCTTTTTTTCAACAATATTACTGTTAAAATAAAATTGGATAAATAAATAAAAAGTGCAATAAAAATTTAGACTGCTAGCAATAAACTATATTGATTATTTTCGAAAGTTTGGATATGGTTTGAATCGCTTTTTAAACAAATAATCTCATTTTAATGATAAAAAATAATAAGTTTTTCAAATTTTGAACAAATAATTGTGGAAAAAACATTTCATAGTCATAAAAATAATTGTTTTTGGAATAAAATTGACAAAAATAGCATATTATTTTATAACTGACAATAAATTTCATATATCACCTGACATTTCATTAACAAAATTTAACCATTTACACGACATAAAATAAATTCAAGTTGCAAGAGCGTTCATGAGTCTAAACATCGTAGAGCTTGGATAGGAACACGAGAACTCACTCGGGGGCTTTAAGATCAAGATTTATAATATCGACTATCAGAAAGTATAATAGTGTGTGGAGAATTCTGGCTAGGCGCCCAGTAGCTTTTACATGAGATCTGTGCTTTCAAGTCATAACCCAGTGACCAAATCGTGATGTATGTCTATACGTATTTTACACATAAGTGTGCACAAAAGTATAAGATTAATCGACAATGAAATTTACGCATATAAAAGATTATGTTGACAATCGTAAGTTTCCAATGGATAAACATTGCCAGATGATTTCATTGAGCCTTTTATTTGTTAGCTTGCTTGCGTGTTCAACGAATGTACTTCATCGTCGCCAGAAAGTCGCTCAAGTTTTTTTTTTCTACCCCAACTATCTGAATTTATTTATGATTTCCATACAACAAAATTTTGTATTAAACGATCCTATTAACCCTGACCGGGATATAAGTAGAACGAACAATAAATATTTATTGTCATAAATTATTGTCATTTTCCAGAATTCAAAGAAGCTTTCATGCTTTTCGACAAAGACGAAGATGGTATGATCACAATGGCAGAACTTGGAGTTGTGATGCGTTCTCTTGGACAGAGACCTTCAGGTGAATAATTTAATTTCAATTAGTTACTTATAAATTTATTACTCTTAGTATCAGTATCATTGTTTCTTTAAACTTAACTTTATTATTTACTTAAAGTTATTATTATCTTAGTTTTAATTTATTTATTAAAAAGTGATATTATTAATTATTGAGATTTTTTTAAGCTTATTTAAGAACTCACTAACGTTAGAGCTTTCACAAAAGAAAATGAATTATTCCAAGTACTCAAGTAGATTTTACTTTTTGTCTTTACCTATTTAATCTTATCTACGCAATTGAAGAATGCAACAGAATAGCAAGTATACTTTATTCAAAGCTTTTGACATGAGATTCTTTTTCAGTCAACTACTGACTATTGTCTCAAGAATTTACTTGAATAGCTATGAAGAATTTTTAACAATATTATATTTCACATAGCACATAAGTAGTTTGAATAAGTTTTTAACAAGCTTTTTCTTTTCTTATATTTTTGACTTTTTTTTTTTTTATTTTAACATAACTATTTGCACTTTAAAACGTATGTGTTTTTAGAAACAGAATTGCGGGACATGGTTAACGAGGTTGACCAAGACGGAAATGGTACTATTGAATTCAATGAGTTCCTTCAAATGATGTCGAAGAAAATGAAAGGTGCTGATGGAGAAGCTGAGCTACGAGAAGCATTCAGGTAGTTTTTTTAATTATTAATACAAAAATGAAAATAGGTCACAACTTTCATTTTGACAGTAATTAAGTATTTATACAAACTCATGAAAAATTTTTATTTACTTTAGAATTTTTTTTTTTTTTTTCAAACTTAAATTTATCAATGATTTTTTGTTACATTGATACTACTCACATCATTGTAAATATTTAATATATGCTCAGATGACACTAGTACTTTTTTTAAATTATAGATCTGAAAATCAATACTGTCTACCTTTCATGTAAATCCTAAAATCGTAAAGCTTGTATAATTTATGAAGAGCTTTATAAATCTCATTGTAATAAACATGAAATTAATTCAACATCTAGTCAATTTTTAAATAATCAAAATGGATAAGTCCAGATAAACTTTACTATTTAGGCATTCATATGATGCTTTTAAGTAAAATACGAATTGTTTTACAGAGTATTTGATAAAAATAATGATGGACTGATCTCATCTATGGAATTACGCCATGTGATGACGAATTTAGGAGAAAAACTTTCTGAAGAAGAGGTAGACGACATGATTAAAGAAGCCGATTTGGATGGTGATGGAATGGTAAATTACGAGGGTGAGTAATTCAAACACCATCTGGTATAATGATAAAAAACTTTAAAATATGTAAAAGTTAATATTATAATTTTTATCACTAAAAACTTTCAGAATTCGTAACAATTCTAACGTCAAAAAATTAGTTGGTGCAAATAATTAAACTGCAAGTTACGGACGAGAAAACTATACCGATTATAAACTCTTGAAAAAAATTTCAAGCATTAATCTGCAGATGAATAATACTGCAGTAATAAAAATATGTTTTGATATTCCGTAACGTTGAAAGCGCCTCGAGGGATAATAAAATCTATAATAAAGGCAAGATACAAAGGGAAGAAGCAAACTTTCTTCAGGATAAAAGGGCAGATGATCAAATTTCTAAAACTTTCAATGCCTCGACAAGATTCGTTTACTCAACGAATAAATCAGCTAATTACATCACGAAACTGTTTTTACTTATTTTTTAAATTAATTTGTTCTTAGATTAGGTGAGAATAAGAACAAGGTTGCATCCTAAAACAATCAATTGAGCTTCAGTTAGCATACCTATACATATATAAATATTTAATGTATTTATATATCGCCGTTTATAACTGCATTAAGTCAATGAAAACGGCTTTCTATTGTTATAAAATCTTTAATACCAATTATTTATTTGCTATTCAAACTATTTCCAATAATCTAACCAAATATTAACTTTCAATTTTGTTAAAACTTGATATAAAAAATCCATTCTCTCACCAATTGCCAATTCAGATAAACTTATAAAATATAATTTCACTATTCTAATTAATGATTTGATAATCAAAAATATATTATATTTTAATTTTGGAAACGTCAAGTTCCTGAACTGAAAAACTACAAAATTCAAATTTATTTTATTTTTATGGCAGTTTTTTTTTTACTATTAGTCGAATTCTAAAGCTATCAGAGAAATTTACAGAATTGATATAACAATACTATGAATATCAAAGGAAACATTTTGACATCAAATATATACTTTAATTCGGTATATCTTCGTCACTGTCTTTCTCTATAACTACACAAGCAAATGAATATCGTGCACCTTCTAGAAACCCCTGAGATGATGACATTTGAGATAAAAATTAAAACATAAATCAATTTATAAATATTAGGTAATATCTCACGCATTAACAATTCTATATGATTAATCGATGCGTGGAATAAATAATAAAAGGTGAATATTGATGTAGATTATGTAGTAAAATTAATGGTATTGGTAACATAGAATATTTTCGTTGTTTCATAAATAATAAAACAAAAATTAAATATTTTAGAAAATATAACAACAATTTAAAATCCTGAACATTATGCGATCGATTGATAATTATACACTCCGGAATGAAATTGAGATAATTTATTAATCGATTTTTAATAAATTATTTTTTATCAAATAAATTATTTAATACTTGAAAATATGAATTAATTAAACATAAGGAATTCATCTGACGTTAATAGTAAACTAAAATACTGCAAATAATACAAATTCTAAAGAAACATTCAGAGGTATAAAATATTTTGAAAAATATTAGACAAATATTTTTATAATCATGACTTATTTATTCGTTGAGTCTATAAAAAAAACCGAGCGCTTTTTTTCTAGTTTTATTTCTAAGTGTATAATTGACCGAAAGATAGGAATAATGAGAAATGAAAAAATAAAGAGGAAACAATGTCGTTGTTATCATCGGTAACGTCGATGATTATTCACAGCGATAGACAATAATGTGTTGTGTTGTACTTGTTCGGATGTTGATTAAAAAAAAAAAAAACATACGATGTACTAATTTATTCATGTAAGATTATAACAAATTAGTATCTATATATTATATCTGATAAATAAATTTTTGTGAAAAAAAAACGCACATTAAGATAAGAAAAATATATTTGAAGACAAGTAAAGTGCCACCATCGACGTTCCCGATTATTACTTGACATTATGTTACAGTAAGAATCGATTGTACTTATAATAAAACAGCATTCATAAAATAAAAATAAATAAAGTACCTTGAATAATGCTGTTAGATGTTAGCCAAGATATACAATGTCAGGGTGAAAAACTTCTTATACAAATAATACAATGTATAAGCCATTGACAAGATAATTGCGATGAGCCAATTCAAATAGTAATATAAAACGTCCCAAAGACAATATCTGACAGATTAAAAATACATTTATCCAAGCATGGGTTAGTCATTATTAAGGCGGCCTAAATTCTACTATTTCCATACAATTTCTAACGAAATATTTACGATAAAAAAAAACTTGTTCAGCATCAATTACTCCATTCTAAATGGAATAAAATTCCTAAGCTTGCATTTTTGCCACAATCTATAAAAAATTAATTATTCCTCTCCTCCCTCTCATTAGCCATCTCAAGGCTACGAAAAGTGTTCACGATGTTTTTAACTTCATCGAATCTTATTCACTTAAAATGATTAATTATTTATTTTATCTAAAATATTTATACCTAATATTATATTAGTAAATTAAAATTAAAATTATTTTCAATTTATATTTGCAAACCACAATTACATAAAATTTATTATGAATTTATTTCATTATTATAAATATTATATTTTAATAATTATTACAATTAATGGTAATAATAGGCCGTCATGACTATCCAAAATATTAATAAATGTAATAATTTATGTAACTGTTAACTTACTATTTCCAGATCAGAAAACAGTATCTTTCGAATTTATTGAGTCGAAAGATTTATTTATCTCGGTCTAATCAAAAAATATTTTTATAGCTTAAAGTCCTTAAATACACACGTGTGCATCATGACTTAAGGTGTACACATTATAATTAAAATCATGATATTGTTATGTATATGTATATCAATAATTGAGGGTGCAGGTCGTCCTAAAAAATGCCACTTGTGATGAGATAAATTGTTCTTATAGCTTATTTTTTATTATTAAGGTCTTCCTCATATCTAATTATGTTCTTTGTATTAATTGACTGCGTTTTGATGTAACATTAATTTAATAGCTTTGTAATATTTATTTGCTTCATCAGCTATAATTATAATTACAACGAACCTAATTAAGTATTCATCAATCTTAATGATCTATAGAATCTATTTGTTTTTATAATAAAAATATCAAAAAAAAAACTATTGATAAATAATATATTTGAAATAATTCTTTTAAATAATAAGAAATTTTAAATTAGTTGAATTCCATTGAGAAAAAATGTTGACATTTTTTTCATACTGTCATAATATCATAATAATCAATAAGAAACATGTAATAAAAAAAAATATCATGTACGTTAAAGTTGCAAAATAATCAAATGACATTAATTAAATAACTTTAAAAAACCTAATTATTATATAAAAAAAATAAACATTTAGATATGTAAACCAGTTAGAAAATAATTTAGATGGCAACTCCTGAAAAAATGAAATATTATGCAGACTGCAAAATCATTCAGTTGCTAAATTGATGCTAAAAAAATTGACAACAATTTTTGCACTGAATTATACTTGTTATTCTATGATTGATATTATACTGATGCAATGTACATGTATGTAGGTATATATTTACATTGCTGAAATATATAAATCAGAAGACATGAAAGTTACCATGAACCCGAAAAAATCGTGTCAAAAAAATAGTGCAACAAAAAAAAATTGCAAGTAACTGTTAGATGTTAAACGTTTTAAATAATAAAAACATATAAAATAAATTAAATATAGAATCATAGATCATGTACTAAAATGATCTTTGAATGATTTCATTCGTATTACCTAGAATTAAGGTTGGATGATTGTATGTGATTTTTTCAACTACTTATTACTATATATTAATTATCTTATTAATTGTCCGTTAAATATATCAAATATTTATATGATGATTTATTATTGTAATAAAAGAATTAAAAATTTTTTAATTATTCAAATACTATAAATTTTAAACCAAAGAGGATCTTGAGATAAAGTCATTTTTCAAGGAATTGCAGAGAGTATTTAGAAAATTATTCAGATAAATAATTGAAGAATTTAATAAATTACTATCTTTATCAAAGATAAACCCATTTAATTTAATAATTCAATAATGGGTTATTTTTCATAGAAGTTTGACCTAAAAATATTGCAAAATGAATACCATTGATAAATATATTATAACAAAAGATATAGAAACAAGTCTTTCACTATTTTATTAAGTAAAATAAATATTATATAATAACTGAATATCGGAATAGAAAGGATATGGATCGCAGCAGCTGGACTGTATAAGATTTATTATCATTTTACTTTGGAGAAACTAAAAATATTAAACAATTGAAAAGACAAGAATCATATTCACTGGATTATATGGTTAGCTTGGAATTAAATTTTGAAAAATAATATCAACCAACTATTCAATATAATGCACATGGGAATTCTATCATCAAAGAAATTTAATATTTATTAATTTTTTTCATTGAATAAATTCTGTTAATGATCTGATAAATTTACTTACAATAGTTTCAAAAAACATATACATATTTTTTTTTAATTTGCTCCAGGCTAACTATATTAAAGGTTTATACTTCTTTAAAAAAAATATATGTATATGGAGCATACAATGAAATATTATTATAACAAGTTCAGACTTATTTTATTTTATACATGAACAAAATAAACTAAAAATATTTCTACAAGATTTGCTCTTCGATAGAAACGCTTGCAAAATTATTTTTTTAGAATACATTTTTCTATAATTATCAATTGCTACTATTTTTATGTAAAAAAATGTTTATAGTACTAAAGCTTTCGATACTAAAAATAAAGGAATTTGAACATGAAAATTACCAAATTTTAATAAAATTTTGAATGTCTAGTAAAATCGAATCATTTGGATCTAATAAAAGAAAAAAAAGAAAGAAAAAATATTAAATAACAATTTTGAAAATTTACTTTAACTTTTACACTGTTCATGCACTTTGACTATGCTAAATACATTGGCAATATGCAAATCAAATTTTTATGAACATGAAAGTTATTGGAATTTATTAATCATAATTACTTATTGCAATACCATTCGATTTATAGCACTAATGGTAACAATAGTTTATTATAATATATTATTTATAACACAAAAAAGAATATATATATCTATATATATATATTGCTCTGAGTATGACGAAGCACAATCAGTATAAAGCAAAGGTTTTGGATCAGTAGTTATCTCAAATTTGTTACGATAAATGAAGCTTAAAAAAAATTTGATAGATACAATTATGTAGAAAAATTTATCCTTTTTTGAATACGTGAAAAAGTTCTGCTAAATGTGGAGAAATCAGGCATACGTGCCTCTGTGTTGAAAAAATTTTATTATGTACATGTGATTAAACGAATTCCCAATATTGGAATAGTTCTACATCTAGTTACTGAACTAAATTATTTTTCAATAATCAATTAATCACTCTCTAATCTCTCAGTAAAATCACTCTATTTTCTACAATCCAGAGTATCGTAAGAGATCTGCTTCATTCATGTTTCGTCATAAAGTAAAACATGATTTAACCGTTGAAAGATGAGTATGTGTGATGTTAGATGTATGTCAACAATCATGTGTTTAATGTCTTGTAAGTATTGTGAGAATAGAAAATAAACTGAGACAAACGGTGACGATGTGTACTGATGGAATGTACTACATGTATCACATTATCCATGAAATATAGCCATTTTTTAATGGATATTTTATTGTCTATTTCTATTATTTCTACTACATGTTCCTCTCTTGTAAGCGTAAAATAATTGCATAATTTTATTTCCAATCATTTTTAGGAAGAAAAAAAAATTAATTTAAACGTATGTATTTTGAAACACATCTTTTTGATTGGAGTACATATATAAAGTGAGTGATTCAAAGTAGTCGCAATGAAAAGATAGGAATTTTTTTGAATACCTTTTTATGTTTTTCTTATTATATGTTGTTCAGCGGACGCAATTTACTGATTTTATATCGAAAAATCTTACCTTGTTTATTTTGATGTCCTAGAAGCTTTTCCAGGAATTCACCTACTCCAATTTATTGCTCGCAACACAATAAATTTGCTCTACTTGTATTAACACACTACAAAACGCTTCATTTTTACACTTAAATAATAGATACACTTTTTAATTATACAAAACTATTATTTTTTGTACAAAAAAACACTAAAAAATTAATAAAATTAACTAACGGACTAATGACGCCGTAATCGCAAACCACCAAAATAAGTGCTCCGATTGTATTACTGACAATAAACGTTGTTCACGACTAATTATTGATCTAAAATGACTCTATGGCTTTAAAAAACTTTATTATATATTAAAAATTATATTTATTTACTTCGATAATTTAATTTTTATACTATTTTAACGGAATTTTGTACGCGGGCTTGAAAATCATATCCACCGACGCCGGTAGACGCTACGAAACTACCAATACGCATGCAGTTTCCCCGCCTGCGCAGTAACTGCGTGCGCCGACAGAACACGGACTAACATTTTCCCGCGTAAATCTTCTACTCCGAAACAAAAAAAAAAAAAATTTGGAGTAAGCTACTTTTATATAAATGTATGTATATTATATAACAACAAATGAAATTAACTTATTAAATTATTTTTATACAACACTGTCCAATATTTCGAAAAAAATCTTCTGAAAAATATAAAATCAAAAAATTTAATTTTTAAGAGCACATTAAAAATGGAGTAGAGTGTTATGTGATTTGATTCTTTTCCTAAAAGTATTGTCTCTAATTAACAGTAAATAATTTTTTAAAAATATCATGCAGATTATTAATTAATTAAAATGACAGATTAATTGAAATATGACAGAATCATTACAAAATTGTGAATTAATAAGTACATAATGACTTAGACAGTGTTTATTAACAATAAAATTAATACCATCATCTATACAAATATAGCAGAATAATAATATAATATCAAAGATTCGACTGGGTTAGAATTACTTAAGTCATATAATGTGTCAAAGTATAAATTTTGAAAAATAAAATGGTTCATGAAAATAAATTTTCTATTATCTGTTCAATTCAAATTCATTATTAGACAATATATTCGCACGCATTCACAATGATGACATCAGTAAAAGTAATGCCATAGTAGTAAATTCATTCATCATAAAACAAGTGTGAATATTTACAATTATATTGCGCTCATCACTCTAGTATATCGAATTTTTGATTGATTGTTATAAAGGTTGAATGAAATGAATCTTATAATTTACTGTATTAGTTATAATAGCTCACAGTTACTTCTATAAGTTATAATAATAAATATCTTAAATTTGAATAAAACAATAAACTGAATAAATTTATAATTGAATGGAATCTCCATAATTACTTGATCACCATAATTGAATACTTCATTTTTTTTTACCTTTTGTACTAGACTTTTGAATTTTATAAATCATTTTAACACAAAAATATATCAAAAATCTATTACCAATAACTGAAAAAATATGTTCTTTTTTTATTAACGAATATAAATGTAATTTTTTACTGTCAATTCAGAAACTTTTTTTTTCTTTCATGATTAATCCCTATACCCTGAATAAAAAATATAATTATACAAACAACATTCGTCATTTACATATTTGCTAAAGTAAATTAAAATTTTCTATGATTTTTGTTAATTAACCAATAAAATAGTTCAATAGTTACAGTCAAGCGTGAAAGTTATGTATAGTTATCCTTATTGTATCTTTATTCACGTCCTACTACTTTAGTAAATAAGGCCCAAATAACTGTTAGAGTATTGATTCACATATTTATTTATACTTCAATTATCATTCCTTAAACTGCATCATTAGAATCCAATTACTCCAAAATAATTCTTCATTTGCACATATTCATAAAGTCGAGGCATCAGTTTGTTTTATCCCAACGGGATCATCAATACTATGATACTATTGAGATAAATAAAAATCTTCGGGCAACTTATCAACTCATCCTATATTGAGCTGTTTAATTTTTTAATCATGCTTATCATCACATTCACAGTTCGTCCTTTAATAAGGTGTACCTATTTTTGCTAGGGGCCAGTTTCTTAAAGGTTGACTCTGGAGGAGTTGTTGGTATTTTTGGTTGATCTGCGTCTGGCACTTGGAGACTAGGATCGGGTCCATAATGGTATTCACGATGAAGTTTACCCGAATAAAGATCACGAAGGAAATTTTTTAATTTACTAGGGGTGTGAATGTCTGAATATTTTGGGAATAAATACATATGTCGAAAACTGTCAATTGCAATTAGAGGCAAATCTGAGGAATTTTTTCCTAAATGGTGAAGTGGGTGGGCAAATTTGAAACCATCAGCAGTGAGGAAATTGACGTTTTCTACAAATTATAAAATATTTATAATAGTTATAAGTTTGAAAGAAAATAATCTAATATCAAATCAAATACGTACGTTTCTCATCCACAAGAAAATTTGTAACGACATCTTTAAATTCTTTCACACTCTTAACATCATCTGGAGCATGGAAAAGGATTAAGAATGGTAAACCTTCTTCAGTTAACTCTTCAGCATTCTCGAAGGTGATCTCTCGTACTAATGGTATACATTTTTCTTGAGCCCAAATGTTGAGCTCATCAAAATTATGAAGACTTCCTTTATATGTTTCATCTTCATCATTCGATAAGGCTCTATCTGGTCGAAATACGATGATTGGTTGGCCAGGAGGATGCATAGCTTTACTAACTTCCCTATAAAAAAAGATTCAATGATATTCCAACAAATACACGATTACTATTGACATTGATAAATAATTTCAGCTGAAAAAAATTATTAAAAAGCTACGAATAATATACAAAATAAAAAAAAATAAGCAATATTATCAGTAATTCTTTTTTGTTAATTATAAATATTTATATCTAAGCTCAATCCCCATGGATTAAGTTTTTATTGTACGTAAGAGAATGAAATAATATTCATTAAAAAAAAAACTAGACCTATTTGCTCGACGAATTTATTCAGTTACTTACGATTCGAAGAATTGTCCGATTTGACAGGATTCTTTGGAGCAAAAGCTTGTCAAATTACATTTAGATTTAATTATATTAAACATTAATTCAATATGTTGTTCAAAATCATATAATAATTTCAATTAGATTTTAGCTCACAAGAAAAGTCTTTGCAAATTGTTACTTTTTTCATCTAAGCGAATGACCCGGCTCATTAAATTTTATTTTTGGTTTTTTATACTTCACTATTGAATATTCTTCATATTTATTATAAATTATTAAATCAATCATAATGAAGTAGATTAGTTATTGGAAAGACTTCTTTTGTATAATTTGATTTTTTAAATTAAAATTTCTGAAACTTACCCGAAACCAACGTGGAACTGACAATCATCTTTCAAATTTGTTGCTACTCGTCTGAATTTTTCATATTCAGGAACATCTTTTCTATCAAAATAACCTATTATCATGCGTTTCTTATCATCTAAATCCATCAACTCTTTGAGATCATGAAATTCTTTAATTGGGTCTTCTAACTGTTTTTTAACAAACTCTACAAACGCCTCAACTGATCGTTGACCTCTATATTCTCGTTTTGTTGGTTGCCCATTTTTAATTACTTTTAATGTTGGGTATTTTGTTATTTGGAACCTCGATGCTATGGAAGCTAAAATAGTGAATAGATAAATTATATCATGAGTCTATCGTTAAAAATATAAAATTTAATATTAAAAATAAGCATACACTCTGCATCACAATCTACTTTGCCCATAACTACTCTTGTTGGAAAGGCCTCCCTGACTTTATCCGCTGCTTCATCAAATACTGGTGCTAATATATTACTAAACCGACACCAATCTGCATAAAAATTAATGAATACTAACTCATTAGACGCTGGAACAAAAAATATTTAATAATTAATACTCAATAAAAAATATATGTATGATCAATTTTTTTAGTCATTTAAATGAACTAATGAGGACAAATTAGAATAATAAGTATATGTATATATTTATTTATATATCAATGATAATGATTCAAAAAAATAAAAATTAGATAAAAGAATATTAACAAGTTATTTTCAACAACTTTTATTGCATAACTCAAATATTTCATGTATGAAATACTCTAAATTAAAAATAGTGATAAAATAATAATAGCGTTGTAAAAAAATTTTATAGCAAGTGAAATTTTCATGTAAGTCGTTGATTATAATACTTGATATTTACCTAATGTCATATCAATATCTTTTTGAGTGAGTTGTACAGCACCTCCATCAACTTGACTTTGTGTCAAGAATATCTAAAAGAAAATCGAGATTGTTATTGATATTCTACAATAATAAATTGTTTGATAGAATTTTGATAAATTTTGAATCATTTTCAACATGCAGGTCATATTTTTAATAAAAGAATAGTAAAGTTTGAATTATACCAGAATATTATAAATGACTGAAAAAAATAATATCATCAAAAAACTTGTTGGATATATTTATAAATATAATTAATTAAACCCTTTGCCACTCATCTAAATATTCTTCTTAGTTAATTACAGTCTGTTATCGGTTACTTCAAACGTGTCACTTGAGACGATGACAAATTTGAAAATTATAAATGATTATTACACAATTGAATATAAAAAAATAACTTACTGATAAAATAGTGAAAAGGATATATTTATGGTGGAAGAAATTACGTGAATCAGGCATTTTGTGATCATTAATTAGCTAAATTCTGTGTTTAAAAATGCCAACATCGACAAACACCCGAAGATGTGTCAACTGTCGTGAACTATGGTGTGAAACTTAAGATTTATAGTGGTTGATATCGAAAAATTACTATCGATAGATCGGAATTAAAATTAATTCATACCAACTCAAAAAATTCATTTTATATTGTTGGTAATAATACAACTCTTTAATCGACTGCTGACACTGGTCTCTGACTGATGATAAAGTCGAATTCTTCCAATGATAGTCGACAGTATTTTAAATACCACTTTTGATCAGACATCATACCAGTTCATCAATTATGCAAGAAAAAGTTCAAAAACATTTTCAGTTTCTAGCTAAAAAATTTATGTATATATATATTTATAGAAAGATTATAAATCAAAGAGTAATATTATCGATACTCTTTGCAGTGTACTTGTGTTTATTTCTGAGAAATACGAATTTTAGTTTCATACAAGAATTATATTTTCATAATTATCTCTGACAAGTCATACTTTTGAGTAACAAAATTCTTTAATCAAATAATTATGAATACTAAAAATCCTGAAGATCTTCGATGACTTCCTGATGTTTTTCACCATTGAAACTAGGTGACTTTGTTTCAATTAACATATTTTTAAGATTTATACTCTCAAAAAATTTGTTGTGCAAACACTCTACCGCTAAAATAATTATAGAAACCCCAACTCCTATCAAAAGAAAAAATAACGCTGGACAAAAATCATTGAAATTCATTGGTGATGGTTTAGAATTGTGGGCTTCTGGACATATTGGTTTCCTGTGATGCCATATTGGATAAAGTCGTTTTGATATGCCATGTTCTACAATTTTTCTGTATCTAAATATAGAAATTAAATAGTAGATAGAAAAATGTTTTTTTCACATCAATTAGAAAGAATGTAATTAAATTTAAATTATCTAAAACAATATAATAAATACCCATATGTAAACATTTTTTTAAAAGGAGAATTTTTAGATACAACACTCCAAGTTTTTACATGAGGTTTAATCACTAGTATTTCTTGTAGTTCACATATTTCATCGTCATTAAATGTTTCCTAAAATATTTTCAAATTATGATTTAACGTCACATAATACCAAGAAAAAAATTTTCAATTTGTCTTACTTCTATAATTTTATAGCCAATTGCAAAATCACAATAGAAGGCAAAGCCTCCTTTTCGGACTCTTTTATATCCTTCTTCGGCTAAGTAAAATTCTCCTTTGAGCCTATTTTTATTTGGTGTTACTTTTTTCAGATAAAGTTGGCGTGCAAATGGATCGGTTGTGAGCTAAATAAATAAATAAAAGGATCCTATAATCATGACAGCTGCTCTAGAACTTAAGATTTTTTTTAAACTTACTTTATGAAAATAATAGCTGTACAAAATATCTTCCATTCCACACTCCAAGTTACTATCTAGTAAATCTTTTACTGAGATAATCCATCGCGGAGGTTTTGCAAGTAAAGAACTTACAATATCAGCTGAATAATATTGGTAAAGAAGAAATGCCCATAGAAAGAGTGACAGAAATACAATTCGACCAGAAAAAGTACTTGGAGAATTACTTACACCTAGATATTAATGCAGTTGAATAATTTTTTAAGGAAAAAATTTATCACAAATTATCATTATACCTTGCTGTGAAATTGCAGCCATAGTTATAAGCCCACTTTCAGAAGCTGGAATTGACATTAAAGTATTTTCTGATATTTCGAATTTATTAAAACATGCTTCTACTTTTACTGTAATAAATAAACAAATACAGTAAGTGATACCAATAACTAAAGACACCGACCATGTTAGAGTTGTAAATGGCTTTAGAAAGCTATTTTTCATTTCATCTTTCCTTGGATGACGAAAAATAAAACCAATGCTAAACAAAAAACAAGATTATATTATTTAATTTTATTTTAACATTAACTTTTATAATACCCACTTTACGTTCCATAAACTAACAGTATATTCGCACACAGATAATCTTTCTGGCCGAAAATAAAATGGTGAACTACTGAGATCTGTCACACCATCGAGCATTTCACCAATAATTCCATTCCATGATCCATTGACTAACATTCCCCAAGAGCTACTCCGTTTTAAATTTAATCTATTGGGCACGAGAATTTTTTTCTATATTAAATTTAGCATTTTTACATTATTTGAATTATAAATGATCACCTAAAGTTATAATAATCTCTCAAAATCAGATTTACAGCATGTTGAAATCTTGCCATAGTGTCCAGCTGTGGATTTACAGGTTCAGTAACGTATTTTTCAAAGTCCATATCTGTACTTTTTGTCAACTATTTTTAAATCAAAGAAATTAGCAATTCCTTTATTATACTTGACCTCAAATAAATATGTTACATACCACAATAGATGCATTCAAAGACAGATCAGATAAATTCTGACGTCTGATATACTTGTATTGAGTTAACTTATTGACCAATCCATTTTTTGGTGTCCACTGTCCTTTATAAGTAATATTAATAAAACCTCCATGACGGTAACTCGGATTATAAACATCATAAAGCTCAAATAATTCATTTTTTCTGGTAGCAACGGTCATTTCAGTTTGCACTGTGAGTGGAAGATCACGCAAAGAAGCAGTTGGTGGTGATGATGCTTCAGTAAGCAGTAACCAAAAGTAAGAATCATTGAAAACCAGTTGATCAGAAAACTGTTATAGAATTCATACTATTAAAATTAATTTAATCAAGTTATTTAATTTGAAAAAATCCATATTGTAACTTACCTGTTTCAGAATAAAATTACTTTTTGGACAATCATAGTCTAAAATGACACCGATGTGATAATAATTGACTTTCAAGAGTGATATTATGTCAATATGCTCATGGATCAAATTATAAGACACTACTGTGTCTAGTTGAGTAATTTTTTTAACCAATTCAATTGCATCTGAATTGTTTTTAAAACAGTAGGTAAGAATATTGAATTTAAATTAATTTTTTATGTAAGTAATATTATTTTTTAATACCAGGAGCACTCCAGCAAGCAAAAATTACAAGTTGATGAATGTAATTACTGGCAAAATATTCACGCAGGAAATGAATTAAGTCCTTATCGCATTGAATCAGCTGGAATAATAAAGTTGATAATATGAGCCATATTTTAAGGTTCATATCTCGTGTCTGTACTAATTCTCAAACTATGATATATGAATTGAAAATGGAAAGTTCAACTGAATTATGAATGATGACTAACATTCATCTTTCGTGCGAATCATGCTCTATATTGATGTGACAACATTGAATAAGGTATCGCAATAATAGAAATCATATATTTTCGAAAATGAAGGTTCTGTCGTGACTCCACTAATTAAATTCTTGATAATACCTTCCTTTATCCTAACTTCTGGTGAATTGATGTAGAGGTTCAATTATAGGTTCCAATACTTCAAATTACTCCTTTTAGAACTAAAACTAAAACTTTTTCAATACTTTGTATTGACATTTAATATCTGTTATCAGCTATGTTGATGGTTTTGATTTTACACCCTTACATTACATAAATCGATGTAATAGTCGTTTCGTGACTCTACACAAAACATAGGTATTAATATTCTCACTCATAATTAATACTTCGTATTATAGAATAGTACTCCCATTGATTAGGAATCCCATACTTCACTTCATAAAAAAATTTACTGTACAGAGAATAGACAGTTGTCCCTGTAAGATATTTAATATCGTTGAAATAATTTTTGAGAAGTCTTCTATTCTATCGTTTCACACATTCAGCTATTAAATAGCAATAAAATTAACATTTAATAGTTTATTGTGTCTACAAATTGCAACCTAAATACTCAATCTTATTTTATTGTTTACTCAACATGGTTTATGTTGAATATGCTTACAATACAACACAGTAAATTATTTACAGATCATTGACGCATTGTTTAAGAGGCTAGTGTCACTTTATAAAGCTGTCTGTCACAAGTACCGGATAAAGCAAGTGCTGTAGGTTGCAGAAACTAGTTGACACACCCAAGAGAGATGCATTGGTAGAACCATTAAACTGCATTGTTACGAATTAAAGAGCTGACAGTTTGCGTTACTGAGATCACAGTGAGGAATTACCACGCGATAACAGAGGCGTGGTAAAAACCTGTGAAAGAATATAGGAAGGTACATGCAATCTATGATGCTAAAGAGAAGCGAAAGAGCGACGCGCGGGTAGAGCGATCAAGGCCTTTTGGCCCCGTAGATCCTGAGAAACTGGAGAACTTAAGAGAAGTATAAAACGCCCCTCTTATTCCTTGTTTGCGCATTATTGTTCCTTACTCTGTACGTCACTCTAGACATGCGTTACATTTTTGTAAGTTGGTTCTTGAGTTTCTTTAATAATTTTTTCAATTAATCTGATTACATGTTATATGAACTGTAGAGTGATATTTGTGGCTGAAAAGAAAAGTTATTAATCAGTTGATAATCGGTTTTTATAGATTTGGTTACTGAGTATAGTTGCCTTGTCAACGGCTCAAGATTATAGGTCTCCAGCGATTCTCACGGATGCTCGGTATCTCTCTGGAGATGGAACATTTGGTGCTGCTTACACCCAAGAGGATGGGGTGCAATTTAAAGAGGAAAGTGATGCCAAAGGCAATCGGAAAGGATCATATTCTTACGTAGATCCTACAGGACAGAGGAGGACAGTATTTTATACAGCTGGAAAAGACGGATTTCAGGTTTGCAAATATATTTTCAAAATAATATAAAAAAATCAATAACTAAAAATCATTAATCAGATTTTTTATCGAACATCAACAAACAAATAATTTATTACATTTATTTATGAGAAATGCTATTCGAACATTAATTTATCACTCCGTCACATGAATTTAATTAGGTGAATTTTATTCGCTCTAGGCCATTGGAGACGGCATTCCTGAAGTGACTCCACCAACTCCACCGCAACCAGAATACGAACCACTTCCTGAATATAATCCTCCGGATTATAAATCTCCAACAAGGTCATACGATTACGATAGTGAACCACAAGCTCCTACAAAGTCCTACGATTACGATTCTGAACCGCAGCCTGTCAGGCGAGTGACTTATGAACCTCGTCCTTCACCTTCACCTCCTCCACCACCACTTCACCCTCGCTTGTCTTATCAACACCACTATCAGCCAGAATATGAGCAACCTCGTCCTGTGCATGAATACCGTCACGAATCTCGACCTTTACCAGTATACAAACCACAACCCACACCTCCACCTCCATCACAATACCATCAACAACAACCTGTTCAACAATATCGTCCTTATGTAGAGTATTCAATTGCCATACCAACACGCGACGCAGCTCCCTCTCGATACAATGAAATTACGACACCTCCACCTCGCAGATTTTATCCTCCAGGAAAATTAGATTTCACGAGAACTCCAGATGGCTTCTCTTATAGCTTCAGTAAGAGTTGAAAGTGCACTGGAAATTAAATAATTAAATTATTGCAGTTATTTAATCAAACATATTACCATCATAATATATTATAAAACATTTTATTTATATGCACTCTTAATAGTTGCAATACTTTATAATTATATTGATTTAATTGTATCAATAGCAGCACTAAAGGTCAACTTCTCTTCACTTCCTGTATTGGATTTAAAATATTATGATCAAGATTTTTATCGATGCACTTTGTAATAAATTTCCAGAGTAGATAACTGTAAATTGGAATATTTGAATAATAAAAATAACTGAATAGATTTTAGTCTCAATCAATATAGAAAGTCATTTTACTTGAAAAATATAAAAGTGATTTAGATCCGTGTGAATTATTCATAAATTGTCGACAATCAGAATTTTGAAACAATTGATCCCTGACTCCACCCTAAAGTGCAATGAAAATTGACTTCTTCATAAGAATCATGGGATCTCGGTCATTTAGCGCCATGAGTTCATTTTACTTTCATCTGCTAACCTTTGAGACTCTCCCTTGTGTTGCAAGAGTATGATTTTATGAACCCACAAGATTATTTACTAAGACCATTTGGATTTCATGATATTGCAAGAAAACGAATGGTAAGTATAAGTTGGTGTTCATTATTTCAATAAATACTACAATTTTTTTTTACTTTAATATTTATTTATAAAGATATTGTGAGTATACAGATGAATATTATGAATATGGCAGTATTATACTGATTCTGATTAGCTGTAAATGACATCAACAGTATAAAAGTAGTTAAAAACAGCTGCTAAAGGCGTTAGCATTTAAAGTACATTTTTCTTAATGAATATAAAAAAAATAAAAAAAACAAATATTACACTTATTATCCATATCTTACTCATAATAATTATGCCAACGTGCCTCCACATTATAAACTAAAGATTTCTTCTCCAGGAAAAAAATAAAAAGCTTTATAATTAATTTCAAGGACAAGGCACTATGCGTCTAATAAATTTTTCAGTTCTCATGACATATTATCAGTACATTTTAAAAAAATTTCATTTCGTTGCTTTTCAATATTAATAATCAAATTTTTTTCCTCCATTTCATCTCACAATTTAGAGTGATTTTTGCACTAAAATTGATGAATGCATTATCATAGTACTATCGATAATAAAAAATATTTATAATTGCACTTAACTATAAAAAAAAATTAAACAACAAATTTTTTGAACGCTGTCAGCCCGTCACTTAAAGTATTTAGATTAATTAATACAAAATATTATCAGTAAGAAATAAGTTCTACGTTTCTTGACATAAATCACTGGAAGAATACTTAAATGTATAAAAATGATATTAAACCTACATAAATGGTTTTATGATATTTATTAAGACGTTTTTATGCACGATCGATTCTTTTAAAATTTCTTAAGAAATATTGAATATTTCAATAGCATACTACTACCATAAATTTTTGAATGAAAACTATAAAAATACAACATTCTATAAATAAAATAAACTTCCTTACATATTTTAATCGAAAACATTGAATAATGTTAAACTTAATATTTAACAAAAATTGAAAAAATTGTAGTCATTAACTACCTACGCATTGTAAAATATCAATAAAAAATTGAATCTTATTTTTCTATTCGGCATTTATCTTAAAATAGCTATTATTTACTTAAAATATGTAAAAATGCATAGAAAATACAAATAATTGCAGTATTCAGTCATATTCATTTGGCCAGTCGAAACTAAACTATTGTTAAGTAGGAGGCACGGCATCTTTACATGATTATTTTGTATTTTTCATCAAGTTTCCTTATTATTACTTAAAACTATTTACGAAGACGTAAAAAAGTGTCGTATAAGCAAACTTATATAATCAATTCCACGGTCACAACCGAGAAAGAGATTTAGTTAAAGAATCAAAAAAAAGAAGCTATTAATCTTAAAACATGTGCTATCTATTTACTTACATTTAGATACTAGCTTGACAATAATTCATTAATAATGTCATGAAAGTATCTAATAGTAGTCTTTCTAGTATATTGAATTGATTCGCGTTAAAAAATACACAGTGACAAAATTTAAATTGTCATCTTTAGTTCACAATAAAAACATGATAAACAAGTACATAAAAATAGAATAAAAATGCAAATCAACATAGTACTATCCCTGAGTGAACTTAATCAGAAGACACTGTGTATTTTTTATCTGTTTTGCTGATAAAATGATCACAAAGTGCATGCCAATGCAACCGTGAATAAGAGTAAAAAGTGATCGTTTAGTTGTACTACGGTAAGACACGTATCGATGGTACATTTTGATAGTTGAAAAAATTCTAGCTGCAAAGTCCAGAAGGGTCAACGAGACCACGAGCAATCAGCTCTGCTGTTGCAGGATCTTGTTTAATACCTGGGTGTTGTGATGATGTTTGTTGAGCTTGAGGTGCTTCAAAATGTGAGCGTACATGGAACATGAATTCCGTTTTATCAGTAAAATCGGTTCGACACATTAAGCAAAAGTGTCTCTCTGATGCATAAGGTTGTGGAGGTGGTGCTGAACCAGGGAAATATGCAGCAGCATGTTGAGGTGGTCCTGAAGCTTCCAAATGAGATCTATAAATGAAATCAATGAATATTTTATTAAATGATTTTGATGTGCTAAAATACTTTATATAATTAGAGGTCTCAAAACTTCACTTCTATTTATGTATATTTCTATACATTGAACATTTCAAATATTAAGAAAGTCAAGCACATAAGATTAATGTATTATTTTAATCTTACCTTTTGAAGTATAAAAACCATAAAAGTTAATTTAGAAGATAAATGAATAAATAAAGTTCTTTAGAGTAAATGAGTTTAAAACATCCTCTTAATTTTAATAATAATTACCGCGCATGCTGCATCCACTCTTCTCTCGTAGCTAAAACTCGACCACATAATTCACAAGCCCAACTAACTGGTTCCTCTTTTAATTTATGAACTGTATCTTGACGTGGCTGTTGTTGTTGTTGCTGTTGTTGTTGTTGTTGCTGTTGCTGCTGCTGTTGTTGTTGCTGTTGTTGATCAGTACTTGGAGCTGTTGGAGTAGACAAAGGCGTAACTCCAGGTCGGTGTCGAAGCTTATTCATATGAATGACAAGTTTATCTCGTCGTGCAAATGCTTTTCCTGCAAATATTATTTAAATTCAAATTAAGCATTGAAAACCATAAAGAAGTTGTACAAAGATAAAGTTTGATTGAAATGTCTCAGTGTACTGACCACAAACTTCACAAGAATATGGTTTTTCTCCAGTGTGTATACGCATGTGAATAACAAGTTTGTCTTTACGGGCCAATCCTTTCCCACAAACCGTGCAAGCAAATGCCTTTGTTGTTGGTTCTCCAGTATTGGTCGCTTTTGATACAGAGCCCGGTCGAGCTGCAACATTATTTGTAGTCCGAAGGGGTTGATTTATTGTCGTTGATCGGTTATTCGGAAACTGTTGATCTGTCGTGCCCGGAAATACTGGCATTACTCCACCAGGACGGGCCATTGCAGCTGAATAATCTGGTGACCTGAAATGCAGTTATTGACCAATAATTATTTTATCAATTATTGAAGAGAATTCAATAAAGCATCAAGATGTTGATAAACAAAATGACGCATACAAGTTATTAAATTTCAATTAAGAAGAGGAATCTTACCACGTGCCAATTGAACGGAGCACACGAACCCCATCATCATAACCAAGGCCATCATCAGGAAGTGTAAATGTAGGATTAGGTGGTTGTGGTGCCGATGGGGGTCCTGGGCCAGCAAGTCTTGCTTGAGCAGCCTGCTGTGCCATGTGCTGTTGAACTGCCGCATGCGCGACAGCATGAGCTTCTACATAAGAACGTTGCTGTTGCTGTTGACCACTCGTCGACATTTTGTCTTTATCGTTCTGAAAATTAACATAGATTAAATATAGTTAATAGTCTACTCTACCAAATTGCTTATAGAGTAATCTACTGTAGCAAACACAATTTAATCTACCGAAACTTTAAACGATTAATTATCATAGTTTGCAATTGTAAGCTAATTATTCCATTAGTTTATAACTATATCATTCAGATACTCTTGTGAAATGTAGAAGTTGTCACCAGTGTCAATTTATAAAGCTATTAATCTTTTTCCATCAATTTTCTATTAATTTACTATCAAAATATTTGATCTATTCATCTAAAAACAATTCAAACTCATTCGTAGACATTGATATTAATGGTCATTCACAAGCTTCATAAAAAATCAACGACTTTGATTATTTTAATTATGTATCCACATTGTTTTCACTGATCCTCTGTCTACTATAAGTCTTGTTTGTTCCCTTTTAAACTAATATTTGCTTGGGGTAGTGACCCTAACGATCGATGTTGAATTAGATGAAGTGGAAATAATCACATGAAATAATGATAATAAAGAAAGTAAATAAATTAATAAAATGTAACTAGTTATTATTTCAGTTGTCAGGGTTAAATAAAAGTGCCTCGAATTCACCATAAATCGACATTACTCCTGGATGAATTATAAAAACATACTTGTCCTTCACTTGACGCTGTCGGGACTTTTTATTGCATTTACTGGAACTACATGATGAACAAATTATCCTCCATACAACGTTGAAATCAAAACTGTCCTTGTAAGTTATAATACACTTTATCTGTACGTGTATGGTATGAATTGTACACTAATTGCTTAAGACTTACAGTATAATTAAAGGTTTGTACCTTAATTGAATTAAAGATTTTGAGATCATAACAAATGTGAAGATAAAAAGGTGAATATAAAAAATTAATATAGTAATTACATGTTGACAGTAATTATTGGTCTTTTGATTCAGAAATGTTGCTCATACTAGAAATTATTGCAAATTAATAATATGAATAAATGGATGATTGTAAAGCTTGGAATAAATTTCAAGAAAAGTGGTAAGTGACTATGCGTAGCTAGAAAAACTTTATTTTATCCTGCATAATTTATTCATCTTTAATTATCATAAGAGTTAAGTGCTGATTCAGATATTTACAAATAAGTTTGTCACTTATAAAAAACTTGAATATTATCTATGTAATATTATTGAAATATTAAAAATAATAAATTAATAATTAAAACTCACTTGTAGATTTTTGGAGCACTAATATAAAGATAAGAAGTAAAACCAACTAAAAAATAATAACTTGACTATCTGTCACTTTTTTTTGGAGTATAATGATGTTTACTCGAGTCGTTTAGACCGTTAATAAAGCAAAGAAAGGAAAAAAAGTAAAGTATAAAGGAAAGAATAAAAGAAAGGAAAGTGAAGGGAGAAAGCAATGAGGCAAATGAAAAATACAGTAGCAAAGAACTTTGTCAGGAAGATTTGGCTCACGGAATGGACGTTAGCGAGCTGAGAACAAAAGAAAGATTAAAAAAAGAGACCAAAGAGTTGCGGTCTGATGGTCGTAAAGAGTAGTATAAGGTACGATAAGTGCGGTGAAGTTGAGAGAGATAGAAAATGACAAAGAAAAAAGGGACCAAACGTGTGGTTGACACGGTGCGCGGATGCTGCTGCTGTTGTTGTGCTGCAACATGCAGCAATATCGTGAGGAAGACACACAGGAGGCACGCGGAATGCAGCGTGGCGGACGAGAGAGGAGAGACTGGCGCGTCCGATGGCTGGCGAGTGCCCCGAAACGGAGGAACAGACAGACGGAGACAGGGGAAGAATGAAAATACGAGTGAGCAATGAAGATGGAGAGAGAGAATGAGAGAAAGAGGAAAAAGTGGAGAGTCTCGGGCCGTGTGAAGGTCCTACCACCGCAACCTCTTGCTACCATTGAAAACGTCTGATGTTCGGGGTATATGACTGCAATGGACAGCTCGAGTTACAAGGGTTACTCTCTTAATCGTGTGATCACATTCATTTTAGTCTATACATAAGCCTGATAACGTACTCATATACTTAGTAGTAGTAGAGCACGACCTTGACACTGACATTGAAATAGGAATACTAAAGATCAGGTTATCGTATATGTTGAGAGCCATCAAAAAAGTCTGATACCTGTAATAAAGCCAACATAAAGAAAGTACGTAAACGTTCTTTATGAACTAAACTTTCGGCAAAGTGAAATACTTCAAAATCATTTAGCTTTTGTGCCTCCCTTTTTGGCATTCCTCATAATTTACCATCGAAAATGCGAGCGCATTGTATTTGTTGTCGATCTTTCAAGAGTTGAAACAGGTTTTCTCGCGAAGGTTCAAGACGCACCTGTACCGGGCAAGGATCGGTTGTGAAGGATCGAACGATCAAGTATATTATACTGAAGTGAGATAAAAGAATATATGAAGATGGAGAAAGAGAGAGAGGAAGGAATGAGTACACACATGCACACCTTAGTGATTACAAAGCAGAAGGGGAACTAGAGATATGAGGCAAGGGCTTCGAAATCAAACGAGTCGGTTATGCCTCGATGGATTCAACAGACAAAGATAGAAGAAGGCGAGACGCTGAAGAAAAGAGAACTGACTTTCACTTTCCGTGCGCGACGCAGGGCCATGACGCGCCGATCAATAGCACCGCAACAACGGTTACACTCTCGCTTTGCACCGTATGTGTGAGGGTGGAATTATTGAGATTGGCGCCGCGTCCTAAGGGAGACTGGGGTGGCAAAGAGGTGAAATCAAGGACCGTCCCAGACGACCGATCAACATCTCACATTACCAAATTCTGCACCAGTCATGGGGCTAAGAGAGTTGACTTAATTTAATGGAAACTTTTTAAGTCAATACGACAATGTACCTTTGGAAACCTTCCACATTACTTTTTAAGAATCTGTTAATAGAGATGTTAAAAAGTGGAAAATAATGATATTGGTTGCATGAGCATAAAAAGTATTTATCTTCTATATAAAAACCTTTCAGACAAAATAACAAAGGAATTGGTGGTATGGGGATTTGATAATTGCAATGATAATTAAAGCTACAGCTCTTACAATAAAGTGAGAGATACACCACGTGTGTGCATACAAGGGCAAATAAATTTGCACCTCTAGTCTCTTAAAGGGATGGCAAGGTCAAGAGGATAAGAGTTAAAAAACCTCAATGGTATTGAAGGCCTCTGGTAACTAACTTTTATCTAGATGCCTTGTTATAATTATTCGAAAGAATCCATAGATTTATCAATGATTGTTGTTGGAAATTATAGAATGGAATGTATGTTTTGAATGAGACTAATTTGAGTGTTGCATGATGTACGAATTTTATGTGTTGTCATGATTATAATATAAATAAAAAAAAATATTAGTATTACCTGAGAGTTGACTGACAAAGCAAGATGTTTTAAGCTCTCTGCATAGTTCTTTAACACCGTTTCCGTTGTCATACAGCTTACTCGAAACTCGTAAAACATATCCAATTTATAAACACACTTCTGGCAAATATTTTTAGGTAGAGCATCCTCTTTAGTTATCTATAAATAATTTTAATAAATATATCATAAAATAATGAAAACAAATTTTTTAATTCAGTATTAATCAAAATGAATAGTATTTAAATCTTACCACAGAAGGTATGCAAGAACGAATTTTAAAAAGCAATTGTCGTTGTTCTCCCTCTTTATCAAAAATTTGCAATTGATGACTACTTTTTAAGGAACAGAGTCTGCACAGTTCAGAAAAACTAAAATCTTCATTTACTGCCATTGTTTGGACTCAGGTAAACGCAAGTATGTTAGGTTATAAAATTAGATAGATTAATATAAAATTATTATTTTACAATTGAGAAGTTTTACGAGTATAATTATAAATAATTACTGATAATATGAATAACTATTAATTCATAGTACAGCAGTAATCATAATAAAAACAAGAAAAACACTTTTAAAGAAACTACTGTTCAATGCCGGAAGAGTTAAACGTCGCCATTTTCAAGTTTCTTCACCACCCCATCGAAAATCTTGTGAATTTACAAGCGCAGGAATTTTTGAGACAGTTACAATCCATCTAGCGGCTGAATAATGAAGCTTGTGAAAAATAAACTCTGTCGATAATAAAATATTTTGTTTTATCGACGTTAACTACAAAGGAAGACTTCTAAACATCAACAATTCGGAGAATCGGTTACACGTTAGACTGAAAAGATTCAAACTCGGTACTTACGAAGCCAAGTGTATACAAAGTGATAAATATTGAATTTTTACGAAGTAATTTTTTCTGATAAGACTCAATAAAATATGAATTTCCACCTAAATAATATATATTATTTTTTTAAAGCATATTTTATTCAATTCAATTGTAAATAAATATAGCGTGACATCCAAATCATAGCATGAGCTAAGTAGCATAAATTTATAATCTATTTCACAGGCGTTTTTGTAGTCTTTTATAATTCATTTGTATATGATAAAATCTGTTGAATATATAAAATGTTATTCCACGGGTATCATAATAAAATTGTACGTAAAGAAACATTCTTTACCATTATTTACTCAATCATCAGAAGCATACAAAGTATATCAAGACTATATAAAATTTTATTACATGGATAAATATATTAAAAATAATTAATTGATATTCATATACTTTGCCAATAGAATAATCGATTATTTCGTAAAGTTTCATAGTGATAATAATAAACCATGAAGAAAATGAATGGTTTTAAAGTGATCCGGAATTTGCTGTCATGTATTCCAGGAGTTTTACTTCTGGCAATTGGAGTTTATCTTATAATCTTTAAGTCTCATGTAGATTTTGTAACCAAATTAGTACGTGAGGTCAGTTTTAATTGCTACAAATTAAGTGTTATTATAGCACATAAAATAATTTTCTCCATTTTATCAATTTGCATAATAATATAGTTTTACTCTCTTCAAGTCAAAAATAAAAAATTATAATGATAATGACACAATTTTTTTCAAGAAAATTTTTTCATAGTTTATCTTACATTGTATCTAAATGAGACCTCATTTAAATACCATGTTAAACATCATCCGGGTGATATTTAACGGTTGTTATCTCATCATTAATTAGTATTCATTGATGTCATTATATGGTGTTATTTGTAGGATGCTGAATTAGTAGATGGAAAATTTGGATACAAAATTTGGAAAAGAAATGAATTATTTTTTAAATTATATCTATTTCATGTCACTAATCCTGATGAAGTGATGCAAGGTGCAACGCCAATCCTTGAAGAACGTGGACCATTCGTCTATGAGTAAGTCATTATCAATGCTGTTGTGCCTAGACATCATAATTACATAAAAACTGGCTCTTGTCAAGGTTTGAACTTTTGACCTATATTTTTTACAGCTTAATCATAGACAAGCGAATACTCAACATTGATGAAGAAAAAGATGAGATAGCTTTTACTCTAGTTAAAACTTACTATTTTAACAAAAAAGCATCTGGGAGCAACTCTCCAGATGATAAAGTTGTCCTATTGAATAGTCCTTACGTTGGGATTATGAATACTGTAATTATTTTATACCTTATTTTATATTTATTGTTGAACAACTTTTAATTTGACGTAATGATTCCTATTATAGTTAAAAGCAAAAGCTGCTATGATGTTACCCAAATTAGGGAATCAAATCCAAAATCTCTTTCCCAAATTCCGTGACATATTTTTACGTGTACAAGTGAAGGATTTATTGTTTGAAGGACTTCCACTATCTTGTGATAAAGATAAGTTTCCTGATCTTGGTATGATCTGCACTTTCTTGAAAATGCAAAGACCGCCCATGATAAAAACTACCGATCGGGACGGATATTATACCTACAGTCTTTTTGGAGCGGTACGTATCTTTTTTTGATCATTATATTAATCATTATGGAAATAATAATAATAATTAGAAAAAAAAATTTTTTAATGCAAATATATAGGTAAATCTAATAGAAAGTATTTTAGAAAAATTCAAAAAAAAAGAGAGAGTTATAAATTATAGTATGGTTCAAATTTTTTATTCCAAATTTTCGGTGTGCAATTTTTTTTATTTTTTTATCATAATAAAAAACACAACACGAAATAACATAAAAAATACAGAAGTTAAATAATTGTAGTTTATTTTAATAACAAAATAAAATCAATTATTTAAAGAAACTCTTATAAAAAAATAAACACACATAACTTATTGAAAAAAAAAACAATTACACATTTATAAACATTAATTATTCATTTTATGTAATAATCGATATTGTTTATTAAGATTAATAAATAGATTTAACTCTACGTTAAAAATAGTTTTTACAATAATACAATGTAATATTACGTCACAGCTTAACGGTACCGAACAAGGCCCCTTTACTGTTAACAGAGGAGTAAAAAATAAAGATGCATTAGGCAATACGACATCTTATAAAAATATTAGAGTAGGAAAATTTTGGAATGAAAAAGAGTGCAATATTGTTTCTGGTACTGATTCAATTACATGGGCTCCAATGGAAGAAAAATGGCCTTTCGTTACCGTATATGAACCTACTTTATGTCGGTATGTACAAAACTTAATTCTATGTCTCAAAAAGTACTGTTTACAAATAAAAAATATTTTAACACGATTATATTATTATAATAGATCAATAGAGACTATGTATAAACGAGATGAAATTTATCACGGATTAATAGGCCATCGATATGAAATGGATGATTCCGTTTGGTCTGAAGACAAAATCAAATGCTACTGTCCACTTGGACCAAAAAAAGCATTAAAATGTCTACCAACTGGTCTTTTAGATATCTCAAAGTGTCAGGTAATAATTTACTATGTAATACTTCGTATATAATTACTTTATGAGCTCGATTGACATTTTCAGGCTCTATGTAACCTACTGTACATTGCTTAATAAATAATCGTTCACATTACGTGAGATCGCACGTAGTTGATTATAAATATTTATACTTTCTGCATAAATGTTACAGGACGCCGAGGCAATATATTCAGAACCACATTTTCTCCATGGAGATCCAGATCTTCTTGATTATGCGAAAGGTTTGACGCCCAATATAGAAGCTCACGCAACTTATATTGTTATCGAACCTCTTACTGGAGCTCCTTTGAGTGGGTCGAAGAAATTGCAACTTAGTGTTCGAATCGCTCCAAATACTGCAGTTACCGTTTTATCTAACCTTACGGAGGGTTTTTGTCCCTTTCTTTGGGCCGAAGAGGTACTTTTCAGTACAATATCATTTACCGCTTTGGATGTTCTCTCAGAAGCTTCCAGAGTTAGACATAGTTATTTCAAACCTTTTAAAGGCGTAAATAGTATTTTTCTGTTGATGATTGTTATTAATTATTCATTAATGGAAATTGATTTCTTGAAGTTTAGTAATACACATTTATTCTTGTTTAAGTAAATAATTTTGTTAAAGTTTTAACATATGTCTAACCACTGGTGCTTTTACATTATTCATATCCTATTCTGATTGTAAATATTTTGTTTTTCAATGTTTTCATAAGCTCGAATGTTAATTTCCATGATTTGTAATACAGTAACCAATTCTTTTAACTTAGCTGAAAATAGTTTGAGGATAATTTCAATGGAGAGTTCGTTGTAGAAAAATAAATCATTCAGTAATTGAAATTATTGTAGAACGAGTTCTAAGAAATTCTATTGAAGGCTATTGAAGTATAAAAAATTCGTACTGAATTGTAATAATATCATCATGTTTATTTACGTAATCGTACTATAACGAAGTCTCTATGCTGTATATAAATTAATGTGTCATAAAAAATCACGCAATCTTCGTTTTTTAATTCATGAATGAATTATCACATTCTCTTGTAAATTGATAGAATTTAAAAATGGTGTTTGAATCGTTTAAAAATTTCAAGTTTCAATTCTCTCATGAATTGTAATCACATTATCATCATGTCATTGTTCTATTTATAATTTAATTGAAAAAATGTGTCGTAAATAATGTTTGTTTTGTTTTTTTTCTTTCCAGACGAGTGAAGCAAGATTAGAATTACTCGCTCCTGTTATTAGAGCTCATCGATTTTTATACTTTTGTCGATATCTCTCATGGATTCCAATCATTCTTGGTACTTTTTACATGTTATATATTGGCATATATCAGTTTACAGCCGAGGATAACAAAACCGGTCATGTCAAAATGGCTCAAAAGAATCCATCTCCAAATCAACAACTTGTTAAACAAGCCGTGAATCGTCGTAATCACGCGTTTAACTGAAGGTCGTGTGATAATATTTTTTTTTGCTCCATTTTATTTCATTTGGCAAAATACCTACTATGTCACAAATTAACTATAGTAAGTATCCATAAGTTGAAAACGTCAGACGAATCTCACATGTTTTCACTCGAATTTCTCGATTCTTTGTCCTTGATTCGAGCGAGTGAATTACTGGGCGTTTGTAGCATTCAAAAAGCAGATATTCAAAGTTGTTATGAGTAAGTTTTGATAATATCTGCTAATGCGACCCACGATCCAGTGACTAAACCGAATATTGAGAAAATACCAAGGATGATGTTTTTTATTAGTCGCCAATAACACGTTCCTAAATGTCCTTCCCAGCAGGAAATTGTTTCAACAATCGCAGGAATACTGATACCAAGAATCGAGAAAAATACTGCACCCACAAGAGAAATAAATGGCTCTAATTTTGGAATTGCAAGCCCAACAGCAACTGAAATAATTCAACATTATATTAGTTCTCATGTTTATTCAAATACGTAAGTAATTATGTTATTTATGTATGATAATTACTTGTTAATAATGCCATGAAGACCCTGAAAACTGTTTCACCAACGCCAGAAAATCTGTGACTCAACCGAGCTCTGACTAAAGTTGACATAATATCTAGAGGAACAAAATATTGTAGACCATAAGTGAAAAGTATAGCCAGAGCGATAATAACTTTCACGGATTGACCCAATCTGAAATTTGAATATTAACATAATATAAAATTCAACGAACTGTGTAATTTAATTTCTCTAATAAGATAAAAAAGTTCAAAACATGCAAATTTACATAAATTAGTTCAAAATAAATCTTACATGTCTTCGGTAGCTAAATTTAGAGTGATAATTGATTCCGTAGAGTCACCGTATTTTAAATATCCAAAAATTCCTACGAGTGTATACAAGAAAACAACAATACTCATTGTGATATTAAGGACACCTGGACATCCCAAGAAATGATTTGGCTTCTCCATGCTGTTCTCCACAGGCATTACCTAGCAATAAATTAAAATTTGTATAAGATCTTGAATTTATAAATAATTTATAATAGCTTATTTTTTGCTCAACTTACCACACCAATTCCTTCAATGGCGAAAATAACAGTAGCAAAAAACTTTGGTAGATTACCAACTTCAGCAATATATTTAATGTCTTTGGTGGGTTCAAAATTATTAAAAACATAGTACAAGGTCAGAATCAAGCCAAGCATCATACAAACGTTGGCGAGTGTAGAGAAAGGAATGAGATGCTTCAAGTTACGGACTTGGGCTAGGAGAATAACAGCTGGTATTAACGCAAGAATATACAATCGTATATCCAAATCCGTCTTGGTGTGAAAGTCTGTAATCTACAGAAAGTTGTATAATTTAATAATTTGCTCATTCATGGTTGAAGAAATTAATTTCAATGTAGTTTGTTTATTTACCTGTTTGATAGTTGTAGCAATAAACACAACGTAAACACATGCACCGCCAAAATAGGTACAACAAAGAGCAGTGTCCACGACGATCTTCATAAAATTTGCAAAAGGACGAATAGCTTTCGGGCCGCAAGCAAAGGCTGCCTGAGCTGTTTCGGAGTACGTCATTGATGGTGTTTTTGTTCGCTTACATAAAGCGTGGGATGACTTGACAAGGATATGGACACAGTGGCCACAAAGTATACCGATTAGAATGGTACCAATTCCACCAAATAAAAGACCACCATTTTTTATAGCATTAGGCATCGCTAATATTCCTGAGCCTAATGATGATTTGACCATATGTACAAGCGATCCAAGGTCACTGTTGATTTCATTATTTACTGTTAATCACTATTTTATTCACATTATTATGTTTCAAATAAAAAATTTAACGCTAGTCATTAAAGTGATTTATATGGAATGTCGTTGTGATTTTGTACTCAATCATTAATTTTATGATTTATGTTAATATTGTGATGGATTTATATTTATTGAAATATAATTTCAAAGTTAATTCATTATTAAATGTGTTTTGAAAATAAAAAATATTAATATTGACTCAATGAGTTACTTACGAGTTTGCATGTTTTTTATCACGATTCTCAAATGGGTCGTAAAGTTCATCTTTTTCGTTATATTCTCCGATGGGCCCAGGTGCTATTTTTGTGCTATAAATTTCAAAAATATTTTTATATAAGGTATTTTAAAAATAGTTAAACTTGAAAAAGAAATACTATTATTAATTGAGAAGGTTATTAAAAGTATTTTTATCGTTTTACAAAAGTTTTTTTTGAATGATAATAGTAAATCTGAATCATATTTAAGTTTTTGAAAAATTATCCTTCACTATCATAAAAGAAAATAAATGTCAAGAGTTACACAAGTTTATTGATAAAAATATTTTTTTTTTTTATAAAAATTCACATTGTAATCACGACTAATATTTTTTTATCAATCATAGAATTTTTTTACCTATAAAACTTTTACGACCTTTACTATCAGATTGTTTAGTGACAAGTCGATTATGATAGAAAGATAATAATAATAAAACACTTCATTCATAATAGTTAAACATTATATTGAGGCTTAGAAGCGATAATATTATTTGCACTTGAAATTTTATCATAGCATAATGTTGTAACTTAAAGTGCAAAAGTGAAATTGAAGCTGGGTAATCATAATTTTTTTTCAACTCAATTAAATCCAGTTTCCAAATTTACAATATTTTTTGTAAATAAAAAAAAATGAAAATAAATATATCATATCACAAATACACTGTTATGTGGCGATATGAATTCGATAATATCAATAACAATGTTAATGGCCACCAAGTAAAGAGATCTAGACTAAACATCAACAAAAAACGTCATGAAGTTATAATAATTAATTGATAAAACATGCTATAAAATTTTTTTAGAGAATTACTGATTCGACTCGATGCCTAGTATTTATTTTAAATTTTCGAAAATGTTATCATTTATTATTACTTTGCCTAAGCCTTACATGCTATTTAACTCCAAATCTAAAATATTTATTATCTTTATATCATTTTTAATGCGCATTACAATCATAACATTGACAATACAAAGAAAAGGTAAAGATTATACTTACGTGCTGCTAAACTCTTTCATTTGGCTGCCAGGTGTTTCCTTTTCTGTCGTACTTTTCCACATTTTGCTTGATTTTCTATAAAATAAAAAAAAATTATCTTTACTTGCGTTCAATGTGCTTATTGGCCACATTCTTTTATTTATTTACATTGTAATTATCTTTTTTAAATACAGATTGATAACATAGCGGAAATTCCCATCAAAAGATTATCAATGCCAAGATTGACTGATACTATTTTCTATGTGATAGCTAATTGATTGATTAAAAGAAATTTGGGATTTTTTCACTTTCTTTCCACTTTTTGACAGATGAAAAAATTTATACGGAAGAGAAAACTCATTGTTCAAGTACATATCGAAGGTCGAAGTATAATTTCTAATTATCAATTCACGCAAGTGAAATCGTTGTGACATTGACACCAAATCAAACACGGAAATGGAATCATGGTGTATCCAAGCGAGACAAATACGTAAATACAGTGTGACAAAAATTGTGTTTGCAATAGAAATAATTAATTTAATGTTGATAAAAAAAAACAATCATCAATTGATTCCAATTGATTGCATTCGATTGTATTCTTTATTATATCGCTCATGTAAGCACAAATATCATCATCTTAATCTGATATATTCTTGGTTTTCTTTGGAATGATGAACGTCATAGATTTCAAACAAAAGAGAAAGACTTTTATCACTTTATGGAAGAATGATAATATACGTAGATAATTAATTAAAATAATCAGCAGCAATGAAATTATCATTTCTGATAAATTATAAGGTAATTGATCAATCAATTCGATACTTTTCTCATTTCCCTGATTTATTAAAACATATTATTTCGAAATTGTTAGGGATTTGTTTTAATTTAATATTCTATTACAAAAATCAAAGTTAATAGTTTTTAAAAGCTATCACTAAATAAATGACCTTGTCGATAATGATTATTGCAAAATATAGGTTTTATAAAATTTTGTTAAATAATGTTAATTACGTTCTTTTTTATTAGTAACAAAAGTTAAATCATCGTGATGTAATTTATTGTGTAAATTGAGAGCTGAAGTAAGCGATTACGCACATCTATTGGTCTGGTTTATGAATAATAATATGTAATTGCAGTATAAATTACAATAAATCTAATTCCCAGTGTTATTGAGGTTAAAAAATATGTATTTAATGAGTATATGTAAACATACATTGTTTAAAGTCCTGATGATAACAAGTATTTATTGTTAAAATAAAAATAACTATGTTCCCAGCTAGTATCAACTTATCTAATATCTAGAGAATTATTCTATTTTTAAGTAAGCAAATAGTTAAGAAGTTAAGTTCATCAAATTTTATCCAATTTTCCTGAATTTATTTAATCGAAAATTTTTTGTTCACATTTGAAGAATGATAACTTATATTTGAACACTTTAATCATATCTTTTTTATTTATTAATCATTCAGGGGATTTTCTCTTTACCACGTGCTCTACAATATTTATCAACACGGTAATTAATCGTGTCATTGCTCGCAAAATTTTATTGCACTTCTCTATCTTGGAGTAATAAAAGATCAGAGATACTCCAAAAAATTAATTCAAATTTTATGAATAGCTAATTTAATATAAATAAAACATAAATTCATAAAATTTTATTAAATAAAAAAATTAGATCAACAGGATTATATTTTAAAATTACGTAAAAACATGCTAAGATATTGGAGCAGACAATTAAATGTTAATTATAGTCTCTTTAATCCTCATTAGTTTCATTAAAGTTACACAGATTTATAAATGTTTTCGTTAATTAAAATGATAATTAAGAAACATCAAGTTAATGATCAACATCAATACCCAACCGTTTTATTTTATTTCATAAGAGTTAAAAGTTGACATTTCGTTATTTCAGTTGTTCTAATCCTGGACCTTAGTATTGAATTTCGGATTTGCAACTACTTTTTTGAAATATTTAATGTTTTTTTGAAACGAAATTTCTATCTAATAATTTTCAAACGATTGGTATTAACGTCACATGAATGACTTGCTAATGATTAAATCATTTTCATAATAATTACAATAGATAAAAAACTTGAAGGTTTATCCTTAAGCGTTGGTGTAAGTCAAGCAATAAATATAAGTCAGTACATACTTGGTATTGAGGTTGAAGTAGAAAAAGTATTCCTTGTGTCTAATAAATCACAGTAGAATAGTGTGTAGTGGATGATCACGAGAGTCGAAGAAGACTGAACGTCTCATTCGATGGAACGTCACTCTCCAAAGCTCGACAGCCTTTAAAGAACACGTGAAGAGTCGTTTCACGAGACAAATATTTCTACGTTATCACCAATGATTGAGATGATTACTGATAATTCGCTTTATATTGCCCCCATTTATACGATAATTATTATCGTCATAGATTAAAAAATAATGAATGTGGTTGTTTAACAAGATTGGTATTATCTTGTTGCCAATAAACACAAAAATGCACTAAAATTAATTAAAAATTCAACTCGTTGTTTCTGCAATTTTTTTTATTTACAGTTCAAATGTTGCAGTTTTTATTAATTTACTTCAACTTTAACAGATTACTCGATCCTTCCAAGAGTAAAATCGAGAGCGTAAAAACGAGTGATTATGTTGGTAATTGAATGGAAGATTCGTACTAAAGAGAATTGTTATGATAACACTTGGAGGGCGAACACTACTCTCAGGTGTCTTCAGCAGTAGACAGAATTATATATACCGATAGGAATGCACGTGAGGGTCGCAGGTAAGTCATCAGCGGAAAATAAAGGAGCGGATTGTGTCAGAGGGTGGGGGATTCGTCCTCGACTTGGCATGAATTTTAGTAGTGAGTTGTAAGTTTTGTTAAATCGACATTAGTTTGGTCGTTTAGTGATGAATAGTGGATTGACAGGCGTGTACGTCATAGTATATGTCGAGGATATTGTGTATGAATGACAACGAGATGATAACGAGAGAATAAAAGAAAGAAAGAGGGGACAGGTAAATCCGTCCGTTCTTTTGAACCCGTTAACTGCGTTTAACTTCTGTTATGCGTTCACACTTTGTCTCTCCCTTTCTCTTGCAACTCACCGCCACCTCCTCTCTATCGTTTTCTCTCCCCGTTAATTCTTTTTGTCCTCGTTTCCCCTCCTATCTTTAATACTTTATTCTTCTCTATCATATGCGAAATCCTAGTGTAATTATCCTTCTTACTCCTCTGGAGAGTCCCTCGCGTCTATATACCTTCTCGATCTCGTTCTTCCTTTCACTTTTTTTCAGTATACAAACACGTGACTCTACATTTATTCCATTTCAATCATTTTTTGGCATTATTTGTTTTGCCTTGTTCATTATTTTAGGTATTGCAATCTTATTTTTTCTTTCATCACCCTTAAGAAACTTTATCAGTCCTTTTTGGGAAAATTTCGAAATCACACTTTTGACATACGTCAACATGTATTATTACTATCTCCATTCTGAAGTGCCATGATTATTTTGCGCAGATTTTCTGACGATCCGAACACCTGAAATGAAGATTTTTTTAAATATTAATAATTGTTAAGGCGTCTCGAGCAGAAAAATATAGATATAATAAAGTATATGGACCTTTGCGCACTAGTTTTAGCAAAATACGCGAATTTTTTTCCCTTATTTTATCTATTTATTTGCCTAAAACCAGTGCGCGAAGGTCCATATACATTTATGCATTCCTATTTTTTCCCTCAAAGCACCTTAGGAATCAGCTTAACTATAACTTCATATGGAATATTTTTTGTATTATTCATCATCTTGTATTTATAATAAGTTGATGACTTATTAAAATAACAAGAGATTAGCTCGATAAATGCCACCTCATCTAAAGTGTAAAATATCTCTAAGTCATGAAAATCAATAACTCTTATCATTAAAAATCAATTAAAGCATTAATTTTATAAGAAAACAAAAATTGTATTGACAAGGTAAAATTTAATTAAATAGATATTATTATAAAAACATCATCAAAAACAGAACTTCAAAAATGACTAATTAATGATAAATTTATCGAAATTAAATTAAAATCATTGATATCAATTGGAAAATAATAGCCATGTAATAACGTAAATACTACTCGTTATAATATATGGGTACTTAAATGAAATTTATAATCTCATAAAAAATACTTTGTAGATAAGTTACATTTAACTTGTGTAGTTTATATAATAATATAATTAAAAAATATTTTCAATGAAATACAATTTATTTGATAGTAGCATTTGATTACTCACAAATATTATGAACCAAACTAAGGTGATTAATGAAGCTTTGACACAACGTAAATAGAAAAAAAAGGGATGTTCTTGATCGTGCCATTTAGTCATGAGCTCTACAATGATAGGTAATAGTAACATAGTGGTGGTCATGCTTAAAGCTGTTAAGAAACCAAGAAGTGGTGTCATTTGTGGAATAGCAGCTGCAAAAAGTGCTGAAAAAAAAGAATATTAAATTAAAATTCATAAACTTTCTTGGAATACGATTAAAACACATCATGATTGATAATAAATTTTACTTGTAACTGTTACGCCACCTAATCTAAATAGAATCTCATACAGACGAGGATGGCTTTTTGCTCTCTCACTTGCTTGATTGATTATTGGCCATAGAATACATACTGGTATGTAATAATGAAGGCCATATGTACACATTACTGACAATGTGACAACAATTTTTACGAATTTGGCTGCACTAAAAATTCAAACATTTCATATTAATTGTAAACAATATTGATATATTTTTGCAAAATCTAATATCTAACTACTTTCAAGGTGAGTCATGGAATATTCCATGTATTACAAAGTTTTCTATGAATTAATTAGCAGACCAAGCAGGTGATATTGCGCATTACATAAGGAAACAAGAGTCAAGAAACTAAAATATTATAGGAAATTACTAGTTACACGATTTATTTATGAGCATATTAATCTTTATGCATAACGGAATAAAACAGATTATTATACAAGTAACTCACACGTCATCAATTGATAAATTCTTTATCACTGTATCACAAGCATTAAGATATTTATTGTATCCTAAAAAACCAAAGGCCATGTAAATGCATGTGTTGAGAGTCATGCTTGAAATGAGAACTCTTGGCATGTTTTGAGGATTTTTCATTGAATTCTCTAGGGGCATTATCAGTGTCATATTGTGTACTGCAAAGAGTAAGATGCTGCAGTAAATAGGAATGTAGGGAATTCCCGTATATGTCTCAAGTCTTCCGGGTGAGGGAAAGTCACTAAAAAAGTAGTAGAGAGTGATGCTCAAGCCTAGTCCTAAGAAGATCGAGCCCAAAATGGAAAATGGCAAGAGATGTTTGAAGTTTGGTATTAATCCTAATGCCAAGTAAATTGGCAAAAACATAAGGATGTAGATTCTAATGTTCAGTGATGCGTTGAATAAATTTTCTATTATCTGCAAAAAATACAGGATACTTGAATAGTTTTAAATAGTCTGAGTAGAATATTTATGGACGTTTTAGAATAATACATGCAAATATCAAAAAATACATTTTTCAAACCGGAAATTTTCAGTATAATTGTTAAATAAAAATGTTAATTTTCGTACAATAGAAGTTGTTTGAATTTTGCTTGAAGTGAGTTTTATCTATTGAGGTTTGGAATTTTCCACATCTCGTGACCGGTTATTTAATTATCTAAGTGTTAAATATTGCATCTATCTAATAATTTTTTTGCTTAGTTTTTTTCAAATTTAAAGTAAACTCAAATTTTTTTTTTACTTGAATTACAATCTATTCAAATAACAAAATTATCCACAACGATAACTATCATCTTCATCATTATGCTTATTAAAAAATTCTCAAATATTTTTTTGATTATTTATTACTCAAAAAATATAACGACGTAATTATAAAGTTGTGATGCAATTATATTCAGTTGACAATCGAGACATCCATCACTGTATTGAGTAAAATTTCTCTAATATGAGTTGGTAAATATCAGCAGTTAGTTGATAATATAGTTATTACGCCTCTTATAAGTTCAATTATACATATTACGAAATAACTAATTTCCGGAAGTTTTTTTTTATTGTCTACATATACCGGAAATTACGTATTGCACGGTGGTATTTACCCAGAATTTTCAAATATTTACATAATTAACCAAATCTGTCCCGAACAAGACAAGAGTTTTCATTATCCGATTACGAGGATGAACAATTTCCGGTTAATTCTAGTGGAACTAAAGGGATAATTGCATTATGCGTAAACATATCTAAAATATAATCATTTGTTTCTGGAATTATATCGGATTTAATTTTTCTATTACTCAGGAATTTTGTTGTCCTATTTAGTTTGGAATGTTACTGATAATCTATGCGTCCTAGTAAAACATGATTCATTGAAAAAAAATCTTGTAAATGATTTAATATTTAATAATATTTTCCTCTTATGTTTTATTATCACCTTCTAAGTAATTACATACCTGTTCAACGGACGTACCAATGTATATTGAGTATATTATAACCGTCTCATATTGAATAAAGCATACAAGAACATTTGTAAGGATATTCATGTGAACAGCATACTTTCGAAATCTTTGAGGTCCAAACATAAATGACGAAGAGATTGTTTCAGCGAGATCCAATGAAGGTTTTTTTAAACGTTTACAAAGGATCTGGGAGCACTGCACCTGCATGACAAACCATGGAGACATAAGAAAAAGAGAAAGATTAAGTGTATGTATTGGTATAAGTATCAACGTAAGAGGTATCGACTCGTGGTCCTGGTCGATGCTCTCTCACAGTCATTTAGCTAATAAATACATTACAAGCTATGTAAGTAAAAAAAAATTCAAAGATAAGCGTTGCGTAAATACTGACTCTGGTCTTGAAACCAAATAAAAAGAATTTATAATGAACGCGCGGGCGTATAGTTGTTCATATTCTTCATACATGAATATTCTGACACCATTTCGAGATATATAAAAATATTTTTGCATTTATAATAAGTGCTTTTGTCACACATTTTTTCTAGTATTTCCTTTGTAAGACCGGCAACTTCACGGTTAGACTCTAGAAGTATTGTTGAAAAAATCGATATCTCGATTGCAAACGAATTAATCGTACCACTACAAAATTGTAGACAATCGATGATAATCGATTATTGCCATCCGATTCTGATAATACTAGGTTAGATTTGTTTTTCGAAAATATTTAATTTATGTGTTAATATTTATTTATTTTTAAAATTCGTTAATAAATTAAATTTTTAATGGTTTATTTGTCTTCAGTTTATTTGTTCCGTTATCACAAAAAATTAGATTTCTCGAAAGTGTGGATCATGTTTTGTGCAAAAAGTTCTCTGAATCGGATAATTCTTTTTTCTCTTTACTAATAAATATTGCGAATATTTTTTCTAAAGAAAGAGGTGTGATAATTATAATTCAACGAAGTGCAACAATTTTTTAGAAATATTGTAAGACTGTAGATTCAATTTTAAATAATTAGTGGTTGATCAAATATTTTTTATATAAATAATTTATATTATTATTTAGTTGGAATTAATTATATATATTCATTCAAATACTTTAAAATTTATTTTAAATGACACTGAAATTTATTGCAGGATAAAAAATGTCATCTTAATTAAAAACGGTGAAATACCTTAAGTATTGCATAATTATTAATTTTATGCAGATCGTGTCAAAAATTCAATAAAAATTTGCTCACCGGTCCAATCAAGGTAACCTTGTTCGACAAAAAAGCTTAACATCGATTAGTTTTCTTTTAACTGCCTGAGTATTTTATCAATTAAGAGATCAATCCTTTCTGTTTTGATTAATTATATAGATCAAATGACTCATTTTTATTTGATAGAGGTACGTTAGTAATTATAATAAAACATTATAGAATTTTTTCATGTTATCAGGTATATTTGATGAATATTTGGATCATTTGGAGGATCCAAAACAAAGAGATCTAATCTCGATATTTAGACAAACCTTCATAAACCAGGAAAAAATGAACTTACGATAAGAATAGCTGTATAGGAGCTTATCATTCCAATCACCAAGCTACATGTTAAGGCCGTTACATAGCCAGCCAGTCTGAATGCATGTGGAAGAAAAAGTATGCCGCTGCCAACTGCGGCCTTCAGTAAGTGCATAAACACCACCAAGTCACTATAATCGAAGGATAATAAAGATCAGTAATGTTTTGAAATTTTCATTTTTAACATCTTTCAATGTAACTTAATATGATAATTGATACTGTGATGTAAATAATAGAAAATTTATCAGTTTCATAAATCTTCTATTGAGATAGCTAATTAATATTTTATTACTAATCCAATGAAATAAATTTCATTGAACAAATACCAATTGAAATTTATTGGAAATAAAAATAATCGAAGTTCATGTACTATTTAATATTTTTAACTCTGTTATATTAAAAAAAAAAATAATTATTCATTTCATTTTATTTTATCTGTGTATATTTACAAATATTGTAGAATTCAATGTAAATAGAAAAGATGTAATTTCATTTTTATCTAGAAAAAAGTAGTCAATACATGATACTTGTGCATTTATACATGACAATCTTATCAGTGATACGAGAAATTTATCTACAATAGTAGTCGCTAACAAATTCGAATTATAGAGAAAACGACCTTTTTTACTCTCTTAAAGTTTACAAGATGTCACATTTAATAATTCATAAGATAACTGATCGAAGTTTTTATTCTGCTATTATTTATGTACAATATTGTACAGTGATTAAGTTTGATTTAACATGACATTTTAATAAATGGCAATAAATGTTTCCTTTAAAGAATCAAAATAGATACATTTTTCTTGCCTTTTAAAGTATTCTTACGATTTAAAATATTATGTTAATTTCACATTATTTCATTCATATACATTATCTAAAATTATAATTTTTTTGTTTAATGATATCATTTGTCACGTTTTAATTATTATAACTTAATTGCGGTAGATAAATAGTAATAATGAGCATAAAATGGCATGTGTAATTTGAATTTAACTAATTATATTTGAATTATGAAATTATGAAGAATCTTTCCACTCACACTCATAAAAATGAGTGATTCATTTTCTTATAAATTATAATAAATTATTTTCATATTGCTTATAGTGAATAGAAAGTGAGATCTTTGGAATAATTACCTACAATGTATTAAGAAAACTTAGTAGCAAATTTATGACATAATTCAGGAGAATATAGATATGACTTTTTTACCGCGTGTTCTCTAAGCTAAAGATATGTTATTGTTTATAAAATTATTGTATACAAAACAATATTTCAATGAATGCTAATTACTTAGTTCATATTTAAAATCCGTGCATTTATCTTATCATCTATACAATTGAATTCTACAAATTCAAAGTTCATTATGTAAGAATTTTTTACGTGAATGTGAGGAAGTACACTCGACCATGTCGGTGAGTCCAATGTTTATTATGTAAATCATGCTTTTAATTATTAAATCATTTTTCGTACGAATTAGTCTGAGTCAAAGATCGTGCTGCGAATGGATCATATTCTTCATTGATATTAGCTTCAACCTCAGCAACAGTTGCCGTTTGTGGATTTTCACCTGTCTCTCTCGTTTTTTCTCTGTGCAGACAGTGGTAATGAACGATGATAAAATAATCGTTAAAAGAATAAAAAATGAAGAAAAATACTGGTATGAAAGATAAATGAGCACGTGTAGCAGACGTGAAGTTTCTTACTTGTTATCCATGTCACGAAAGAGCACCTTGCGGCGATTACAAGGTCTACTTCAAGGAAGATCCGGTCATCACATTATACTTCCGTATCAAGGAGGTCAACGCTTCTCGTCATTAGAAGTATTTCATCGTGAATCAAGTTTTTTTAAATGTTCTTTATGAGTCTCGAATAAATAATTTAATAATTATTATTAAAAAGTATACTTAAAATGTGTTAAGGAACATATTATTTACATTTTTACTTAACGCACTATAAATTTTTAGTGTCAGTGAATGTCAATACTTGTATACAAAAGGAAAGAACAAGGCCCGCAATTTACCTCAAAGCAGGAATGGTATCAATTACTTTTGACTTTTATGGTTTCACGTTGATCTTAAATAATTCTTTAATAAATCACGAAAAAAAAACTTTTGAAAATTGATGATGTCTAAAAAGTCGATTCAATTACTTTAATGATGTGAGCCATGTTTAAGTCGGTTAGAAGAATAATTTTAAATGTCAAATTGTAGAACAAAGTTATAAGGAAATTACTATCCTTGACCTTATGCTTACCTTCTACAAATTGGCGTGATGAAAATGTTTCTATAGTGACAATAATTCAACGCAAACAAAATTTGTATGATGTAGAATAAGTGCTAATGACCTAAGTAAGAACAAGGTCCACTGGTATGAAAAGAATTAAATTGAAAAAATAATATCCTACAAGGCTGTCTCGAAAGATGCTCTCAATCAAAATTTGTGTTGGATTTGTCACCTTGCAAAGATGACAGGAATGTGATATTGCGTTTGTCATCTGTTTATTTTGTAATTATCTTTTATTTGAATCGTGTAAACATTATGACTAGAATTTTACGCTCGTGAAATATTCTTTTGTTATACAGGAAACTTAAAAAATAGTATTAAGTATTCATTATATGACGAATTAAATCATGATTAATCATAAAAACAAGCGACTTGCAACATTCTATCCTCAATTTCAGTAGTAATTTTTTTTTTATAAAACTCCATTTTAATTATTAACTTAAGGATGAATTACGAATCATCTAATCATAATCTTGCTAATTATTTTAATTATCGATGATAATAACTAATTTTTGTAGATTAGTAAATAATAAAACAACAAGTCAATACAATGATAAGATTAATAGATACATTAAATCGTTATCAACGGCTTATAGTTCAATTATTTCATTTTTAGTCTGAAATGGTACTTATTTCAGATCTGTTATTGACATTGTTTTATGATTTTTAAACTTAGTCTATCAAGAGAGGGATAAATAAAGTTTTAACAAACTTTGAATTAGAAGTATAAAATAAAAATAATACAAAGAATTCAACAAGAAAAAGAATAAACATTCTTAAATTTTTCTGAATTTATCATATTTACGTTTATCATTTAGTAATAAACAATCTAGAGACACAGTGAAAATTTTCGTAGATAAATCAATGTTATTGAAAAATTTTAAATTGATAAATCAACGATAGGAGATATTGATTATTGATTCGTAGGAAAATTAATATGATTTGATGTTAAAGCACTTGAGTGATTGACGTAATTTTTTTCTTTATTAATCTTATCACGTTATCACGCATTTATTACATATTATAGTTTATGTACATTAAAACTAGTTAAATATTTTACGACTTGAGTTTTATTTACAAGTAATCGGTTCGCACTAACACAAGTGTTATTCAACGTAGTAAATCGTACAATGTTACAATATTTTTGGAGTACAAATTTAAATACAACTAGATTATCCGTGAGAAAAGCTACTTATTTTTTATCGTAGCAGTATCTTATTCATTTCTCTATTATTACTAATCACCGTTAGCGTATAAAAATAATAGTCTCCTGTAGACAATGCTGGACACATCATAAGAATGTAAGAATTCGTCAGCTGCACAAATAATTATATCTGAGCATATTATTTTTTATGTTTGCATATCTTATTTGTCGTTTTAATGACGGATAAAAAACATAAAACACCACAACATAAATTTAAAAAACCATCGGTACGACTGGTTCTTATTATGTTTTACATTGCGTTGTAGTAAATCAGGCACTAACACAATAAGTAATGTCCTGTCAGTCCTATTCAACTTATCTACGTTAATCACAAGTTAGTGACTATGCATACACGTACCGTTTAAATGCCAAGACCTTAGCACAATTTTATCTCATGATACGAATAATAATTCTATGCAACATTGTCTCTTAGAAATTTTATCATGTTTCAACTATATTTAAACAAGAAAATAACTACTCTTACATCTTTAATTTATTGTAATAATATGGTATATTTTGTATATAAGAATTTCAAAAGTTTCCATAAGGTTTTATTTTTATGGATTTATCTTATTTTTTTTTTTACATAGATGAAATGATTGAATGATTATGAAGACATATGATAAATAATTATTACAATTAATTGTGCTATAGTCAAGTCATTACATATGCATAGTCTATAATTATAAAAGTAAATCACAAGATTTTCTGTGATAGAGCTCAAATTTTTCATCGTTTTAATTACAATACATAATTATTAATTTGTCCATCAAGCAAAAATCTAGATTTTACAATAGCATCAAATTATTAATAATTATTTAAACCTTGTGACGAATGTAATCATAAATCATTTTCTCTTATTAATTGTGAAAAAAAGACTTGATATTAAAATAATTTGACCGAAGGCAGATAGTTTTTGTAGTTAATCATAAATGTAATTGTAATGTCTGCTAATAATAAATCACTGAGATAAAATTATGTCAATTTTAATTTATTGTTTTTTTTTTCAATTTTTCATTTGATATGTCTAATACTTTTTATTTTTATTAAATAAAACTTTATTTTGACATACTTTTGCTTTAATTTTTATTAGGCTAATATGTCAATATTTTCTGCATAAAGAATTGCACTTAATTATTTATATTTTACAAATAAAATTTTTAAGAATCTGTAGAAAAAATTCAATAAAAAGTTAACTAAAATATTACACGATAATAAATTAAAAAAAAAAATCACAAATGCTCATCGGAATGCAACACTGCACTATCAAAATAAATATGATGGAATGAACTTAACATTCGAGGCTGTTTCATCTGTTTTCATAATAAACCCTCTATCATACGGAAAATAAAATACCTCTAGATATTACAAAATAATCACAAATTTTCTTAGTACAAATTTACCTTTTAATCTTATAATATAAACATTTATATTTACAATTTTTATAAACATAACAAACAGATTAAAACAGCCTGCTCTATCAAAATTTCCATGATACAAATGCATATAAATTGCGACTTTCCTTAACAATGTAAATATAGAGATTAAATCATTGATCGCAATCTTAGAAGGTATCAAAGAATTTTAAGTTTGCTAAACAAACTAATTCTTGAAATTCTGCATTCGCATGCATTCACTTCTTACATAAAATTTGAAAATAAAATTATCAATAACTCTTCTACATCTGATCATTCACCTCATGTTATTCTTCAATCAACTTTAATGAAATAACAATTGAAAATCATTACGATAATTACTAGTATTATATTGCAATAATTGTAACAACAATAATCTAAAAAGATATTGAATAAATTTTACAAAATATAAATGTTGCCTAACAATCAATGATCTCATTACATTCAGAATTAATTTTGCAATTTTTTCATTGTATAAGTGAGCAATACATTAGTGTCGTGAAATATATCAGTTTTCTTCGTTACTTAATAATATATAAGTGTTTCGGAAGCACTTACTCCACTCGATTAATTTTTGATAGTTTGATTTTTATAATTAAAAAAGAATTTTCAAAGTAATAATCATTAATAAAAAATATATAATCTTAGAGAATTGATGATTTTGTACATTTAATAGTAATTAAATTTTAATCTTCGCTGGATATTGGATGTACTTCAAGTGAATCACATTCAGCAAGCGCTTCACCACGTCTTAGAGGGAATTCATCAGTTGAAAGACTCTCAGCAGCCATTGCAGCCGAATCTATGCTATCGAAATACTGATGTTGCCAAGCAACATTTGGTCGAAATCTTCTGGTCGGTGAACCGATCATGAATTCCACTTTCGTTGATCCAGTTATCGATGTACTTTCTGGATTCAATGAATCTGGACACAGAGATGATTCACTAGCTTGAAAGCCACTATGAGAAGAACACCAAGAGGTCGGAGGATCAGTAAGAGCCTGAAATATATTGAAATATTAATAGTTTAAAAAAAAAAAAAAATTATATTTGATTAATGAATACCCTAAAATGTTTTTGCATCAAATTTTTATATTTTTTTTTTTGTGAATGGTTGATGTTAACCATTATAACCTGGTCAAAAATTGATATTTCAATAGAAAACTTTCAAATAAATTCCGGTCCTTTGAGTTAATTAAGAAAAAAAATTGTTTGCCAGAAAATTGATTAAGAAATATAAAAAATACTTTTGACAAGGATTATTTTGGTTTTCGATGATGCATACGTGAAAACATGATCTATGAATAATTTTACCAATTCAATAAGATAATTTAAATGATGTATTTATGTAATTATCAAACTCTTGCTTATGGCAAATATAAAATTTAAATGATTAGGAATACAGCCTTTATTATAGATTCAGCGTCGAACCGCAGACCAAGCAGGTAAGCGTGAAGTCAATCGAGTTCGATGAGTTAAAAATTGTTCAATTAAGTGCGGCTGGAATTGTTCTTTAGCTATGTCCGTATGTCAGGCAACAAGGATAGCAGCAAATAAAACAAACTTGAGCAAATAAAAATAGCAAAAACAAACTTTTAATTAATTACTTTTAATTAATTTTCAAATCCAGAAGGCTTTCAATTCATATCAATACTTTATCAAAATAAAATTGAATGAATATCTTGAAAAAAATAATTATTGAAGTAATTGATTTCGAGAATGTAATACTTGAAATCAAAATTAATTACTTCATGCATCAACTAATTCATAAGAAAGATAGTAAATTATAAATCTATTTCATTTCATTTTCTAATCTTTACAGTATGATGTTTATTCGCTTTTACTACTGATAGCAAGAAAAAATTTTATAACTTTCTAATAAATAACCACAAAACTCTCAAAGTCTGGTTCAATAAGTTAATTAATTTTTTTTCTTATGAATAAGTCATTAATTTACTGTGGACATTGAAAAATAATTTGATAACGTTGACCATGAATGAATTAATTTTCATGTAATTGTTTGATAAGAAGTTAAAAGTAATTAAACTTTCAAAAAATTTCTATGTCGATGGAAATGATTTGTAGAGCAATTTTACAGTCTTGAGTAATTCTAATTGATGAAAAAATGCAATAAATAAAATAAACGACAGTCTTGCGTGCACATGCCAAATTCGAATGATTAGGAATATAGGTTCTACAAATACTACCAGGTATAATCATAGGAGATTCCTATGGGCAGAGGCTTTAATGGTTCACCACATCCAAAAAGAAGCATTGAAGCAAATGATAATAAAAGAAGCATAACTTACGAGAGACTGACGGACGCGAGAAGGGGCCATTTGCGTTTCGCACAGCTGGGGATGGACTCGAACGCACGTTCGCCTGCGCTCCAAGTTCAGAATTTTTGCAGTAGATGAGTTGTCAGTCAGTTTTTTCTTGTGATTTATAGTTCAATCTGAGTACCGAATCAGTATAAGACTATTACTATTTTTCTTTATTAATAGATTTATCTACGAAATGATTGATGATATGAAATTCATGTATGACACACATGACAGAGAAATCGAAATAATTTAACCATTTTCCAATATCAGAATTAAATGAAGATCTAAAATTTTCTGAATATAACAAAAGTGAAATTATCGATGTAAATAGTAACTACAGCATTAGTAAAAATTGGTAAATTAATACAAATCAGCTCGATACTTTACTACATTACAAAAATTATTATTAAAAAGAAATTCAAAGACTAATCTGCAATATATATCTTATTAGTTTAAGAACATCTTTATTCAAGTAAAAATGAAAAAAATATACTTCAATTCAGTTAAATAGATGAATTCTAAAAAGAGCCAAATTAATTTTAATTAAAATTCATTTCAACTTCAACGTGTTTGCATTTTTTAAATGTAAAGACTTTCTTAAACTGAAAAAATAATTACTTTAATGTATTTAATGGACTGTTCTGTCACTATTGAAATGTTTTTCTTTTTAAAAATAATTTTTACCTCATGATATTTATTTCTTTAGCATAGTTGTTGAGAATAGGAAGAGTAATAACCATACGAAAACATAAAAATTAGTATATAGCCTCAGTAGAAATGTCTCTGTCAACAGTGAGTAGTAATATTTGTTCTGAATGTGGGTCACAATATACTTAATATTTATTTCTGTCATGTCAACTAGATAAATAGTCTCAAAGAGTCAGCCCTATCCCTAAAGCGTTCCGTCAGGCCCTGGCACTATTGAAGTTTGTTGCCTCGATTTAATGGAGAGTTACTTCATCCACTTGCTCCAAAAGACGAACTTAGCTGGTCCTACCTTGCCAGTCGTATCTGTATCGACGGAAGCTCGAGCCAGGCTGTGGGAACGACGAGCAGGAGCGAGTGGCCGTCGAGGAGGAGTACCCGGGGTGTTATTCTGGAGATGATTATGATGATTATTGCTCGATTCTAAAGAGTCTCGAGCACGGGACAGCGAGGATTTATTTAAGGAATCTCGACTGGAACTATTGCGTGGTAATGAGGACTTTGATAAGGATTCTCTGCTTGATTCCTTTCCATTCTTAGGTAGACTTTTATTTAACGATTCCCGACTTGAGTCCCTCGTCTTGGAAAGCGACGTCTTGGAGTTATTGCCAGTGTTGCTCTCACGACTAGAATCCCTTGGAGGTTTTGTCAGAGACTTGAGTGAAGTCTTGAGAGACTCGCGACTGTCGCTCTTGCCATTACACATCGGAGGTTTGGGTGCTGTTGATTTGGTAGAATCTGGCAGGGGTATTCGACTAGGAGGCCGTTTCCGTGGTGACGGTTTGACTTCAAGTGTTTGATGATGATCTCGAGCGGACTCTGTGCTACTTCCTGGCTCTAAACAGCAGGGTTCACATCGAGGTTCTATTTCAGACTCTAGATCGACATCGGACTTTGTAGGTGGTCGTTCTTTCAGTCTCTCTAATACACGAACTTGTGCTCGTGTACCTGCCAACTCAATGTTCCGTTCTTCTAACTGAAATACAAGTTACATTAGTGTCAAGATCAATAATCTTGTCTAGAGTAGTCTAAGAGCCACATAATGTGGTGTGAATATGAAAATAATTTATGTAAATATTTAGAAGTGTATTAATGTATTTTTTTCATTATTTTTCACTTATGACTTGACAAGTTTTCTCTCAATGCTATTTTCATATCTACATCACATTTGTTAAAATTAAAATAAATCTTACCTGAAACCTTAAATCATCATTTTCTTCCCTAGCCTTATACAATTTTTCGGATAAGGTTTCCGTACTTTTTTGGACTTCATCTAACCTTTTTTGCAGGCACTGAAAAAATATTGATAGTTAGTATGTGGTCAAAAAATGTTTCAATGATAAAATAAAATTATATAGATATTAAATATAAATTAAAACCTGATTATGGACGGTTGTAGTAATGAGATGTCTCTGCAGTTCTAATGGAGAATGTTCCCGAAGAATTGCAGCAATTTTCTCAGAGTCAACATTTTTTACATGAGCTACTCTAGTAGGTGAAATGAGAACCGAGTCTAAAGCTCCTAATCTTACTCTTCTTTGTTGAACAGCAACATCAGGATCAAACTCTTTAGTAGATTGCACAGCTCCATTAGCTAAAACGTTTTTTTCTATCGTCCTCGTTCTAAACCGATTTTTATGTGCCTTGCCTGCAGCAACTGAAGCAAAGGCTGAAGATTTACTTCTAATGTTAACTCCTTTCTTCGGTGATTCTGGAGGTGACGTTGGTACTAAAGCAATGGATTTTTTTTGTGCTGAAGGAGTTAATATTTCCTGTTCTCCATTCAGTCCAGCTCTCAATCGATCTTCTAAACCACTCTTAATAGCAGACAGTGCTGCTAGTTCAGACTGTAACTCTTGTGCTCGCAATCTACTTGATATCGTTTCAGCCTCCAATTCTGCGACTTTATCAAGAAGTTGCTCTTTTTCTTTTTTGAGTATCGTTACTTCTTCTTCCTCTTTGTCATTTCTATTTGATGACTCTTCATGACCAGTCACTTTTTTCACAGCCTCAAGCACGTCTTCAGCAACAAAATCATTACAAACTACACTCTCCAATTTGCCTTGAAGTGACTCAACTTCCTCTCGAAGTCTTATTCCTTTTCTATGAATTACATCTAACAGATTCCACAGTTCATCTTCAGCTTCATCTAACATAGGTTTTGGACTAGCTGGTCTAGGGATTGCCGTTGATGCACTGTCTTTCGACGAAGTCTCGGTACTAAATCCTGAGTCTTGGACAGTTGCACTGTTTTTACTGCCTCCGCTATGCGAGTTACTTCTACTTCTTGGTAACGATGTTGCTGAAGTCTCAGCTTCTCGTGGTGCAATTCGTCTTCTAACTTTACCTGGCTCCCATTCACTTATTCTTCGTGATGACGGACTTGATAATGCTAATGGCGTATGTGAATTCTGCGTCGACGACATCACGGAAGCCGCAACCGAGGCCGTAGCCGAAGCAGCCATCTTGTGCCTGAGGTTTGGGAACGTCTCGATGACGAGGTCCCGGAATTCGAGAAGAGCACCGACCTCATTCTGCAGCTCTTTGAGGGCGACCAAAGACTTAGCCTGTTCACTTAAGTAGTGAAATGGTCCTGGTCGAAGAGGCATGCAGTCCATGCCACCAGGTTCACTATTCACCACCACACCTTCGGTAGATCCACTGCCGCTTTGCTGAAAAATACAAATAAAAATCATTAGAACAATCATGACAATTATTCAACTGATTAGTTATTATATCATTATACTGAATTAATGAATTTATTATTTTCTATTTCGTTAGGTAAACACATATTAAAAAAGATGAGCAATTGTAACGTAACTGATGATGTATACATGAATAAGTAAAAACTAAAATGCTCATATATGTGAGTAAGAAAAGCGTATAATATTGCGCGTTACGCAGTGAAATCGTCAACTTTCATACGTGAAAATAATTTATGATTGCTCAGTTTATGTCACGATAAAACACTCGAGTATACATAGAAAAGATTTAAAGATCTAACAATTACATATATGGATGCTGATAATCTCAATACGAGTTATGTAGGAAGAAATTGTCTAAAGAAAAAACAAGTGGTATTTCATCAGTTATGGTAAAGAAAAAGAGAATGACGAGTTAAAAATTAACTAAGATAATTTATATAGTTTTTATCAGTATAAAGAAATGTCCTACACTTACATAAACGATTGCGTTTAAAAGTTTAATTTTAAAATCTCAAGATCTATCAACAAGTACTTATGTAGAATTATTCTCAAATAATTTATGGTGATGAGTTTGAGAAATAAATTTAGGAAAATATTTCCTTCTGTTGATCAACATCAGTTTCTGTACTGAATGCATAGGCAATTCAACTATAAATGTCTATGATGTCCAAGTAGCCGAAGTACATAATAATAATGCTGACAGTCAACTCACATAACAAGAGAGGATGTGGGCCAGACATTGACTTGTTCTATGACTGCTACATGCACATACACAGTTGTTTTCATGTACTCTGTATTCCCATTACATTGACGGGCGTTGTCGACGTGCATCGTTGCTGCCGATCCCAACTTTGTCGGATCTAGTCGACCGGCAAAACAGGAAAGTAAGAGAAAACTGGGCTTTTGTGTCAAAGCGTTTCAAGTAACTCATTTGAGGCGAAGAAAGGATTGAAGAAAAAAGTATGATTGAAGTGATCTTCATGATGTGACGAAGTGTTGAAATAGCTAGTATTTGTGATATTTTTATCGCTCTTTCTCTTTGAGTGCTATTTTACTTTTATTTCCTCTGCATCCTAACTTCAAAATAATATGCACGCTTACCAACCACTTGATAAAACTTTTCTACTTTTGTTTGCACTTTTTTCAACCGTCTTCATAATTATGGTGGGATTAGGCAATTAAATAGCACCCGTTAATTAATAGAAATAATTGTACAGTACTTAACTGTAGATTATTCAGTACATAATAATGAGAAAGTTTTGATATTAATAATATTAGATATGGAAATCTCACTGAAGTCAAAGACATTAATTCTGTGATACATATTTTTAAAACTACTGATATCAGAGAGTCTTTTTTGTTTGTATGAATTACATAATTCGATCAGTGTATTTATGTCTTAATGAAAATGAAAAATAATCAATTTCTTAAATGCAGATATACTTGATTCATTTTAAATTCAAAAATTAATTTAGTGTGAAAAATAGTTCAAATTGATCTGCAAATTTTAATGCATGCCACACGCACGTATGAAAGAGCAACTTAATGAATAATTACAAAACTCAAACTCTGTTCTTCCTTTTTATACTTTTTTGAAATACGACTTTTACTGCTGTGGCAAATAATGATGAAGATAATGAAGCGTACTTACGGAAGTCTTGCATGACAACGAGCACGTGATACATTAATTCTTTGAAAGGACCTTGTAATTTCAGCTAATAAGCACGCGGTTTTGTCTTATGTACCAAAGAAAAATGAATATCACGTGTGTGCATTCTTCAGAAAATCAAGATGTTATGATTTCTTGGATTTATTATTTTTAATGGCTCTTAAGACTATAAAAAATGGACAAAACATTCATTAAACATTTCTCCAAGATCTGTTCCACCAAATTACTAAGGAATGAGGTAAAAATTAAAAAAAAAATGAGCGCTCGTCAAATTGTTGTAAAAAGAAAGTCGGACGTATTGAAATGACCGAAGGAATTGTTTGAATATTTTTTCAGGCTTTTATGTTAATATAACAGCATGTATTTCAACAAGAAAGAATTGCTATGTGAATAATGTTTTTTTAACAGCTGCAATAAATAATAAAAATGATTCAATATTTTATTTTTGCAGCTTAAAAAATTTTTTATAACTGTCTTACGACTTTTATTACGACAGGTAATGATAAAATAGTCCAATAATGATTTTTTATAGGAGTTAATAGTATCTAAACATTGTTATGATTGACTCAACGAGTTGATATCAGAAGAGATTAGTCAATGAATTCGATTAATGCAAAAGCAAAAATAAATGATGATTGTAGTAAGGGGATAACATGGAGAACATGGAGTGGTGGAATGGATTATGCAGATCGAACGAGTTTATTTATAGATCAGCCTTACTGGTCTCATGAATTCCAATGACGGGGGTGAAACGCGTTTTGCCATGAAATCGTGACAAGAAAGTACCTTGAAGATCCTTTGAAAGGTAACTCTTTACTGTGAGCATTCTCGTGATATTCTTGAAACCACTGTCGACTTTTCATTGTTTTTGCAGGCCACCTCTGTGAGCAACTTTCAATAAAAAAGGAAGGCATATAAAAAATAAAAATCAAAGGATAACGAATGTGAATTAAATGACATGTATGAACAAGGATCGAGTTACAGAGCCGGTTTTCTACTCGAGCAACTGAATATTCAAAAAGTATTTTTGCAAAATTACACTTCTGAAAAAGTCTCATTTGATTCCATTTACATCTATAAATTATTTCCATCTCATCAACATCATCATTTCATCATAAATACTTTTACTTTTTTCTGCTGACCTTCGTTTCTTGATTTATAGATATGAAGCCCATGTGTATTGTGTGCAAGACGTTGAATGAAATACTCTTGTTAGTTATAATAATAAAGTTTTCACTGCCAATCGTCACCTTCAGGCACTAATTCCAACTCATTCAGAAGCTATATCCTTCGATGTTCTATAAATTTTAATGTCATAGCCTATAACACTTCACATGGCAATGTTGTTGTCGAGGTAACTGCACCAGAGCAAGGATAAAGTCTTTATAAATTCTTTGGTCAAAGAAAAAAGATGAGACATTTTTACCCAGAGGCGATGATTCATGCCGATGTCATAGGACAGATAGTGGAGCTTATCTGGTGTAGGTACTAGTTATACCGTGAAGCCTATCAGTCTTCTTGAAACGTGAGCACGCACGTGGGCTAGGTGAAAAGTCCCTGAAGTCTAGTCTGGCATTACTATATAGCCGTTAGTGTAAAAGTAACGATTCACGCGACAAGGCGAGGCTCATGGTAAAGCCTGTTCTTCACTCTTTAGTTGAAACACTATAGCAATCATCTGCGCGGGTGTCAACGTTCTTATAAGGAAAGTCTAGGAGGTGCTCTGCAAGTACCAAGGGTAGGCGAACTATTCTATGTAACCCACGAGCTTCACTCTATCTTTATGCACTCAAGGCAAATCCTGTCCGCCTCCGCCTGTCTCTTCCTAGTGTTTTCTTAAAGAAAGCTTAAAATATCGTATTCACAATCACTAATAATTATAGGAAATTGATGCTCTAACGTGACGAAACAGAAAAGGTCTGTCATTAAGAAGAAAAAATGTCCTAATCGTGATCATTATTTATTGTCATCATTGTAATCACATTGTGTTCTGAAGAGTTCTTTATTGTAAAATTAAATGAGTAATAAATTTCTCAATCATTTTCTATAATGTTTACAAAATGATTAAAAGACAGGTGATTAATTAGACAAATATTTCATGTATCCTAAAAATTAAATTCTTTTGTATTTTAATTAAATGTATTTATTGAATCCAAAAAACCTTTTTATTTTCCTAAGAGGCGTAACTCAATAGAGAAAAAAATAACAGTTATTACCGGCTGATTAATTTTTAATATCAATTATCAGGAAATAGCTTGTAATCTATCACATGAATAACAACACTTGAGACTTAACTGTTACGTACGTTCTCTGAGGAATCAAAATGAAATTGATTGTTGACGTGTTAAGAAAGTAGAAACGAAAAATTAGGTTTTAATAGAATGATACAAAGAATGTTGATATGAGATATATTGCTTATCAATCATCGATTTAGAAAAGTAGTTAGATCAGGCGTGGTTTCCTTTGGGAAAGTGACATACTGACTTGTGGCCATGAATTAAGAGGTACATGGCTTTCTCCATGTAGGTACTAGCAAGTGCAGCTTTACGTCCTAAGACAAGATCGTCATGATACCCACTGATTCAAGGGTATACCATGGACAACTCCAAGGTTCCAAGACAAGCAGATCTTGAGTGTCAAGAAACAAGAAGATAAAACGGAGTGTGTTAAGTAGTGGAAGAGAGTGGGCGAGACATACCGGACTATACAAACAAGAACTTGCAGTTCAGACCTTCACAAAAAAAAATATTTTCTTGTCGTCGTGGGTCAAAGGTCCATTCCTGCATTAGTTTTGATTTTTGTCATGTCTACCCTTGAAAAATAGTTAACAACTCCTAGCAACATAGTAATAGTTTATCCTGCAGACTAGATACTTTTACTTTAGATAGTATATCCAATGAGGTGATAATTAAAAATTCTGCTGATAGTGTTGACTTTTTTTTAAGCTGTCAATAATAATTTATAGAGTAATATTTATCACTTTTCAAAATACTCTCTATTTCAATGTTATTATAAGAATGTTTAATCATGAATTTCTAGATCAAAGAAAACTATCAAGCAAAAAAAAAGATTGATCCGCGAGAATATCTAAAATATTTAGATTAGCAGTGTCGACAGTCACGGATGGTTACACGCAAGTCTATTCGGTTGTTTCTAACATTTGAAAAAGCCTCTAGCTACATTCTAGTAAATCTTGTTAGTTTAGAAATATGCTTGAAATACTAAATAGTGCTTCTATGTACACAATGGAAATGTCTTTAGAAGTTGTTTGAATGACTCATGGTTAGTGTGTAGGCTT